GTATTTACGAAGGGATACGGGTCACTGTGCGTATAATACTGACCCTGCATGTTCAGCACTATACAACAAGGATTTTTAGCCAACTTGAAAATTGATTGAACAGGGCCCTTAGTTGAGTGATGCCTGTAAAGCTTTGCTTCCAATATTATACAGAAAGATATACTGTAGGTAACTGCTAAAATAAAGGAAAGACCAACATAAATTGTCTTAATAGGGCGTTGGGTCACCACGAGCCAGAACAGCTTCAATGTGTCTGTAACTCCATTAGAGGGATGCAACACCCTACCTCCACAGGAAATTCCATAATTTGGTGTTTTGTTGATGGTGGTGGTAAACGCTGTCTCAGGCTCCGCTCCAGAATCTCCCATAAGTGTCAAATTGGGTTGAGATCTGGTAACTGATCTCCATGGCATATGGTTTACATCATGCTCATCAAACCATTCAGTGACTACGTGCCCTGTGGATGGGGGCATTGTCCTCCTATGGGGGCATAACCATGGTAGTCAAAAGAATGGCCTGCCCAGCATTTTTATACATGACCTAAGCATGATGGGATGTTAATTGCTTAATTAACTCAGGAACCACACTTGTGTGGAAGCACCTGCTTTCAATATACTTTGCATCCCTTATTTACTCAAGTGTTTCTATTATTTTGGCAGTTATCTTTACAGCACATATATTATATGTGTCATGTCTACAATTACTTGGCATGTACATGACTTAATTTCTAACATCACGAAAAAATAAGATGCAGATTCAGATTTTTCAAATTGAGTTTAGATCATCACTTTTGTGGTAATACATTGAATATATATATATATATATATATATATATATATATATATATATATATATATATATATATAATGTATATGTATATATCCATTTTGTTTATATATACATAAATAAAATGTAATTGTTGTGGGGGAGGTCGGGGGGTGGGGGGGTCTCGGGGGATGGATAGGTGGGAGGGGGACTAATGGGCAACCTTGTTTGCTGGGTGGGATGGAAAGGGATGGGAGGCATGCTTACTTCGGGTGGGGGGGGACTGTTGGGTGGGATGGAAAGGGGTGGGAGGGAGGATACGGGCGGGTGGATGGGGACTGAGGGGGGGAGGATGGGTTGGGGTTATCTTTGTATGCATTTTGTTGATTGTTTTTTTGTACCTGTAAAACCCACTCTGAAAAAAAAGACAAAACGAAACAAATTGTTTATATCAGATGCAGGTTTTTACCAAAATAATGCCTCAACGACTTTGACTAAATAAAATAATAATAGATGTCCAAACATTGCAAATGGATACATATTGAACGCATTAATTTGGCATGAAATTTGATAGTGAATTAGAACTCATTGTGCTTTTTTATAAATTGAAGTTTAGTGAGGGAAAGACAAAAAAGCTTAACTCTTTATCATCTACATGGCAATAAATTGAGGATACATCACTGGAGTAAATTCCAAATTATGTGGGAAAACTTTGAGTGTTCTTGTCAAATGCCTAGCCCACTAAAAGCCCAATTCTGGAATAAACAAGTCATCCAAAATAGAAAGTAGTGACTGGGCAATGAATCGTGCCACACAAAGAGCGCCAATGTTCAGTCTGGAGAGGTCTTGCATGGTATGCCTCAGCAATGAAAAGCAAACATTGGAGTCACTGTGATGCTGACATCCACAAGCCATTCACTTTAGACAATCCACCCTCTGTATCACTATTTAAAAATATATAAATAATAAAGTGCCAAACTGAATTTATTTTTGATAGACATGGATTACGTGCTGACAAGGGCAATGACATGTATATTACAGTATTTTATATTATGCAATTTCAGATTAATGCAAACCAAAACACTGACTACAATGCACACATATAGGATAGGACAGTGGATAAAAAAATAATAATAATCAAATCCAATAAGATTAAATCTAAAAGGTCCAATGCAGTCGTTTCTATCTCAATATCAAATATTTTACATTTACCTTACTGTGATTGTTTTCAATTAAAATAGTCAAAAAGAAACAAAAATAGCTTCTTAACAAAGAGCAATTTCTCAAGCAATAATTTTGCTAGGACTGTCTGGGAGTTGTCTGAGTAGGGAGGGGAAAACTGAAAACTTGCTGTTATTGGCAGAGAGGTTTGCAACTCTCTTTCTTATTTGTCAATTAACTAATTTACAGCATGCTGATGTCACCAGACAGGCCAAAACTCCATCCCACCAAAACAGGCTGAAATTTCACAGTATTATTCCAGCCTCATAGTGTGGAAATATATATATATATATATATATATATATATATATATATATATATATATATATATATATATATATATATAAAACACGGGGAAAACACTGGGCCTTTAAAAACGTTTTGCCATGCTCAGGCTATTACAAGATTTGACTGACAAATCATTACTAGCCTACCTGCTTAACTATGACATTTGTATTTTAGACCAATTGCAAATGATTAGGCTACACAGACTGACTAGCATCCCACTGGGCACACACTGGTTGAATCAAAGTTGCTTCTACATAATTTCAATGAAATTACGTTGAACAAACGTAACGTGGAATAGACATTGAATTGACGTCTGTGCCCAGTGGGATAAAGCTTAACCACCATATGTGCCATAAATGCAAAATAATGCGCCTCAATGGCCTACACTGGAATATACTTTTAATGTAGCCCATTTGACACGCATAAACAATTTAGTTGACATCCTTTCATACCCTTATATTTCTTTCACATACATTCGCAGTTATTTACAGTGGATTTGGGATAGCCTATTGGTGCCAAAACACAGTATAGCCTACAGTTAGTCGTAGACTATTCCTTGTTTTACCTAGCGTAGTCTGACAGCAAAGCGTTTGTTTGCCTAAAACAAGAGGACACATCAGTTCCACCCACAGCCCATCTATAACAAAACGCTTATGAAAAGGATAAGATCTGATACAATAAAATCTCAAGACAATCATCCTGGTGCAAAATCAATGAAGAATACACTGCAAAATCAATGAAGAATATACAAATCCATATCCATGAAAAAGGCCTATCATATAGGCTATGCCAGTCAAAACATATTTGCAAATACAATTAATTAAACAAACAAATATATAAATAAATGCATATTAACTAATTAATAAATCATTATTCAATGAGCATGATCCATTGTGACCCGTGGAAAGCGCGTTCAGGTGCGCAGTGTCTAAAAATGTATTGTACAGTCCTTCGATTATTCTCTCCAACCAAAACATTGTGCTATTCTCCATATCCCTTACAAACACACTAGTGTCCTCGCAGAACGTGCCCTAAATGCCATTATCAGAAACATAACCAACATATTTGATTAATCCATACGCTGCATCAAGAAAAAAACATCCAGTCTTCCCATCCAGTACAAAAATGTATCTCTCTTCTCTGTTTCTTTCTTTTCCTCTCCTCCTCCCTCCCTTTCACACACTCTCTCCCCCCTCCCCCCTCTCCCTGTCTATCTTACTCTCTCTCTCTCCGGCTCTCTCTCCCTAGCATGGCCCTGTCTGTATGAATAATGTGCTGTCTTTTGTAATGAGGGCGAGGGGGAAAAAAATACGCTGGAGTGTTAGCCTGCTCCATGCTCTGACATTGAAAATGAATGACAGCTTACCTGAATGCCAATCTTCATCAGACTGACACTAGGCTGACAACACAGCCTATACTCCCCTGCACAAGCAGTGACGTCTGCCATGTAAGATCCCTCCCACCCCCACCCCCCCACCCCCACACTCCACACACACACACCCACCCCTCTGGCTCCTCTTATCCCCCCTCCCATCACCTCCGCTACTCTCCCTCCAGTATTATCACACAAACCCCGGCCCTGCGCATCTCCATCTATTCAAACCGTGGAGTCTGCCAGCCCCCTGTCGGCGCATATTAAACATTACGGTCAGTGATAGTCTACATTCATTGGAAACATTAGCAGACATTCCAGTTATCCAGTATGAGGATGGATACATCCTGTCACTTCACAATGATGCAGTGGGGTAAAGTACTTAAGTAAAAATACTTAATTCGTTTTTTGGGGGTATCTGTACTTTACTTTATTATTTATATAAAGTACACTTTTAATTTTACTTCACTACACTCCTAAAGAAAATAATGTACTTTTTACTCCATACATTTTCACTGACGCCCAAAAGTACACGTAACATTTTTAATGCTTAGCAGGACAGGAAAATGGTCCAGTTCACACACCTATCAAGAGAACATCCCCGGTCATCATCTCGACTGCCTATGAGCTGGCGAACTCACTAAACACAAATTCTTCGTTAGTAAATTATGTCTGAGTGTTGGAGTGTGTCCCTGGCTACCCATAAATAAATAAATACATTGTGCCGTCTGGTTTACTTAATATAAGGAATTTGAAATCATTTATACTTTTACTTTTGATACTGAAGTATATTTTAGAAAGTACATTTACTTTTGATACTTAAGTATATTTAAAACCAAATACTTTTAGACTTTTACTCAAGTAGTATTTTACAAGGTGCCTTTCACTTTTACTTGAGTCATTTTCTATTAAGGTATCTTTACTTTTACTGAAGTGTGATAATTGGGTACTTTTTCCACCACTGCAATGATAACACACCAGTGGGGAAAAAAGTGCTTTATTTATCAAATTATTCACAAAGATCTATTATTCCAATGTTGCAGTGGCAATACACAGCCTATTATTACTATTATTAGTTGTAAGATAGTTGTATCAGTGTTTGAATAGGCCAACTTTAGGCTGGATAGCGTCTGAAAAGCATTCTAGTTACCCATGTTGAATCACTGACATTGAATCACTGACATAATCATTTATTGTGGTTGAGCATTCAAAGTTAAAGCCTCCTTGTTTGTTGTTTATGGCAAACAAGAGAGCCTACTCATCTTCTTCGATGAGGTTTAACGGCGGAGAGCCTACCAAATTTCAGATGCGGCTTCTTTAGGAATACACTACACTTCCCGGCATTCTAGTCGGTATTTGTAACAACGTAAGGCTCTTTATGGTCTATCCTATGAAATTGAAGTTTATTTGCAACCAATGGATACAGCGGGTAGTTGTTAAACAGTTTGCATGCAGGCGACAGTAGACATGTTTGCGTTCAGAAATCCACTTTTTGGTGTTGCGAGCGGTCTCAAACAGTGAGTTATTTGTAAAGCAAGTTATTGAATCAGCACGCGCGTACAAGCCTGCATGTTGTGTTGAGTGCACGAGCTAGCTGTTTAGCTACTTGTTAGCTAACTTTACTGTCAACAGCGGGTGCAAAATGCCAAGTCTGGAGTTCTAAACGATGCAATTCGCATTCTAGGATGCAACTTGTTTTGCAGAAACTCAATTTAACGCAAATAGATGTGCTTGAACTGAACAACAGCACTAGCTAACGTAACGTTATATAGCTACGTTAGCTAGCTAGCTAGCTCACTTGAATCTACTCAAGACGTGACTGTGAGCTGCTAGCTAGGTTTGGTGAAGAATGGCTGGCACGGTAATGGGCGTGGGCACTGGGGTTTTCCTCATTGCTCTCATCTGGATTGTGGCTCTCGTGCTCGGGATGATCCTCTTGAGAGCTACTGGACCAACTAAGTAAGTTACCGGTAGTTGTGAATACATACACACATGCAGGCCTAGCTAGATAGGCTACCTAAACACATTTGTAGTTTGTACACATTATCTTGTGCAGACATGATACCACTGTACATTTGCATTGCCCTGAATAGCCTACTTCTACCTCTGCCATGCCAAGAGGTGAAATCACAGGATCATAGGTGTATGCTGCACTGGCTGTTCCACATCAAATCCTTGGCCTACACGTTTGTGGATTATACTGTACATTATAATGTATTTCAGAGATTATATCAAATAGTTAGGCCCAACATGTTTTATACAGGTGTATGGCTATTGCACTTCAATAAATTAGGTTAGCCCAGGGCCATATACGGTCTACTGTCATTCGACTTTAGACAAGCCTGTTATTTGCACTGTTACTAGCTAGGTCACATGTTTCTGACTACTGCTGAAATGGTTCTGTCATGATTTTACTGTGAGAAAATGACTTGAGTCACTAAAATGTGTAAAAAGGGGTTAGTTTACTGGTTAAATATTTGATTGGGCTGATTGATGTTGATTGCAATGCCCTTGGCCATAGTTTTCATTAGTCCTAAAGAACACCCAATCAAAAGTGATTACCTGTCAAAATAATTTGAAGAAGAATACAATTTGTATCTGTATTGTTTTCTAACAGGTTAGGGGTCATCCCTGTCTTCCTGCTGGCCTTCATTGCCACTCTTATCCTGGTGTTCTTCCCCCGCAGCTCAGAGACCCTGTCACCATTCAAAGATATCGAGGTAAGCAAATAGTACTGTAATAAAATTATAATGCACACACACGCGCAAGTGTACTCCAGCTGGCTCTTTGGTGTCAAAGGCTCTCTTTCGAAGTGGGAGCCACTGGTGTCATGTTTTCTAATATTGATATTCAACAAGGCCCGCAATGGAAAGAAATGTGTGCATTTATCTATTGGCCTATGCCAACAGTGCGCGACAATGGCTAATTTGTCATAACCATTACAGATAACAAATCCTAATTAGTTTAGCAGACAAGACGCTCTTATTTCCTGAGCCCTTATCACAGGCTAGACACCTATTTTATAGTAAAAAAAACATGATGTAATATAACATAATAAAATAAAATATTTTTCCAAATGAAAAAAGTTGCCATTGCGAAGTGATGAGCATCTCACGTCTGAAACAGTTATTCTCAGAGTGATCATTTGAAACAGGGCACAATTTGGCGAGTTGAAAGACAATTTTTTTCTGGGTTACAAAACAAAATCTGTCTTCTTTTCGATATACAGACGTTCGATTTAGTTTATTCTTTGGAATTTTCTAAATGGACTAACAATTCCACATTGAACCCTGCGTGGTGATAAAATTACGACCACGACATCTGTTTGAGTAGGCCTAGGCTTAATGATTCTGATAAATACGCTCTTTGTGTTTATCAAACTAATGTTTTTGCGTAGTTTCATTGTGGAACCTGTCTAGCTTAGGCTAACCTATTCTAAATGGCACTAGTGGTTGGCAAAGTAGCCTAAGCAGAAAATAGACGGGACACAATCATTCCAAAACTGCAGCTTGTTGTTGGAACACATATTTTCCTACTTCAACCAACCAGTCCATTTTAAATTTGTGATAAAACTGTTGTCATTTTGCAAGGAATGTAGCTTGTGTATCCCGTCAGTTGGATACATTTATATAGGCATTTATTTCTGTAGGCCTAACGGGAGCTTGTGTGCGCACTCAGCACACGTGTGTGTGTGTGTGTGTGTAGGGAGCGGTCGGAACACAATTGAGTGAATGAGACACAGGGAAAAGGGAAATTAGGGAGAAGAACTGTGTGATGCTTGGCTTAATTTTTTTTTGTGCCCCGCAAATGCACATGTACAGATAGAACACTAGAGTCAAAGCAAATGAACATACTCTTCAAGACAACATTATTTTTATTAATTTTTTTGACAAAATGTCACTTGCCTGTTCGGGCAGCCACAAAGTATATTCCACCAAATAGTTTGACAGTATTTGGAAAAAAAATAAAAATATTGTTAAAGATCGAGCTTTGACATCCGTTCGAGGACTCGATTACTCATACCCATCCCTATAGCAGGTACTAATAGCAGCACAAAGGTTGCAGGTTCAATCTTTGTGCTGGCCACATTGACCATCACTCATGATTCATGTCTGCTAAATCACTGCAGTGCAGTGTAGTATAGGCTGATTTTTATGGAGTATAGACAGGTTGGTTGTTTAGCAACAAAACCGACGCATGCGCAACTATGGGGTAAAACAGACATGGTTGGCTTAGATTGTTGACATGTATACTATGTTTTGTCTCCAATGTTTATTGAAAATGAATTTGCACAATGAGTACTTGTCTCTCATACATCATTAGTTGTTGGTTATCTAGCTAGCGAATTTTAGCCATATTAGCATTAGCCTCTGCCAAGTCCCCAACAACCAGATGTTCCGGTTTTCAGGGTAAATCGAAAGAGAGCTTGTGACACGACTTCCGCTTTTGGACGTTAACAAGGCGACACCATCTTAACTCCTCCTCCACATTTACTGGATTGTGGTGAAGAGAACCTCCGCCAAATTTTGTTGTTGTTGTCAAGACCAGTATGTAGGGGATCTAGTTTCAGGCATTTATTTTACACCTGCTACGTTAGATTATATTAGCATAGACATGACATCAGTTAAAACACCTCAAAACAAGGCATGTTATCAAGAACAAGATAAAACTAACTGAAACGAGCCACCTACTATTCCCCACATGGCTGCTTCTTGTCATTGTTGCTAGCACAAGAGGTTGGTGGCACCTTCATTGGGGAGAACGGGCTCGTGGTAATGACTGGAGTGGATTTGTAACAAATGGATCAGACATGGTTTCCAGGTGTTTGATGCCATTCCATTTGCTCCGTTCCAGCCATTATTATGAGCCGTTCTCTCCTCAGCAGCCTCCTGTGGTTCTTAGCTATCTGGCCATCCAGAATCACAACACACAGACTTCTGCCCCATTGAATCATGCGCATCATTTTCGTGTCATTATTAGCTAACCCGTCTATGAAGATCTATGGAATATGAATAGCGTATTGCGCTCATCAATTATTCCCCTGAACAACACGGAAGGATTTGTCCCAAACAAGTAAACTGCAACCAATTTTTTTTGTCATGGTGGCTTTTGTTTTGTGGTCCATGTATGTAGGCCTAGCAGGGTGGCCTGCTGGCCCTGGCTGCAGAGCTGCAGTCAGAACATGTGGCGGTGTGTTTGTCATAAAGACCTGGTCTGGTTTATCGCTCCCCAACAGCAGCGCAGCACAAACAGACTACAGCGCTTGCCTTTCCTGCTGCGCTGTCTGTGCATGGGAAAACCAGAAGTACAAAGAGGCATGGGCTGTGTCTCAAATAGGGTTGCAAAATTATGGGAACATTCTATAAATTCCCTGGTTTTCCAGAAATCCTGGTTGGAGGACTCCGGATTTCTTGCTTATTCCCTCCTGATTCAGTGATCCTCCAACCGGGATTTAGGAAAAACCAGGGAATTAATTGAGATTTCCCTGAGTTTTGCAACCTAGTCTCAAATGACACCATATTCCCTATTTAGTGGACTACTTTTGATAGGGCTCTGGTCAAAAGTAGTGCACTATATAGGGAATAGGGTGCCATTTGGGCCGCAACCGCAGACATGGTGCTGTAGTGCCTGTTTTCCTGTTAGTTTAGGCCAATGTGCAAGATGAGCTCACACACAGACCCGATGATTCAGGCAATCTATTTTCGACTGCATGCATTCTGTTTTTTATGTGAATAAATTCACCATTTGCTGTTTTGTCATGATACTTTTTAAATATTTATATTTTTCCACAGCGAGGTGTTAATGTATATAGGTTTATTTAGTGAAGTATTCATTGACTTGTAAATTAGTTTCAAATCTTGGGAATGTGTAAAAATCATTCATATTTTTATTGATTTAAAAGATGACCGGTGGGGTGTATAATTTCTAGGCCATAATCAAATAAAAATAAACAAGCATAGCTAAAATAGTTTTAATTCTGCTGATTGCACATTGTAAATAGTTACAGTGGGGAAAAAAAGTATTTAGTCAGCCACCAATTGTGCAAGTTCTCCCACTTAAAAAGATGAGAGAGGCCTGTAATTTTCATCATAGGTACACGTCAACTATGACAGACAAATTGAGAGAAAAAAAATCCTGAAAATCACATTGTAGGATTTTTAATGAATTTATTTGCAAATTATGGTGGAAAATAAGTATTTGGTCACCTACAAACAAGCAAGATTTCTGGCTCTCACAGACCTGTAACTTCTTCTTTAAGAGGCTCCTCTGTCCTCCACTCGTTACCTGTATTAATGGCACCTGTTTGAACTTGTTATCAGTATAAAAGACACCTGTCCACAACCTCAAACAGTCACACTCCAAACTCCACTATGGCCAAGACCAAAGAGCTGTCAAAGGACACCAGAAACAAAATTGTAGACCTGCACCAGGCTGGGAAGACTGAATCTGCAATAGGTAAGCAGCTTGGTTTGAAGAAATCAACTGTGGGAGCAATTATTAGGAAATGGAAGACATACAAGACCACTGATAATCTCCCTCGATCTGGGGCTCCACGCAAGATCTCACCCCGTGGGGTCAAAATGATCACAAGAACGGTGAGCAAAAATCCCAGAACCACACGGGGGGACCTAGTGAATGACCTGCAGAGAGCTGGGACCAAAGTAACAAAGCCTACCATCAGTAACACACTACGCCGCCAGGGACTCAAATCCTGCAGTGCCAGACGTGTCCCCCTGCTTAAGCCAGTACATGTCCAGGCCCGTCTGAAGTTTGCTAGAGTGCATTTGGATGATCCAGAAGAGGATTGGGAGAATGTCATATGGTCAGATGAAACCAAAATAGAACTTTTTGGTAAAAACTAAACTCGTTGTGTTTGGAGGACAAAGAATGCTGTGTTGCATCCAAAGAACACCATACCTACTGTGAAGCATGGGGGTGGAAACATCATGCTTTGGGGCTGTTTTTCTGCAAAGGGACCAGGACGACTGATCCGTGTAAAGGAAAGAATGAATGGGGCCATGTATCGTGAGATTTTGAGTGACATCAGCAAGGGCATTGAAGATGAAACGTGGCTGGGTCTTTCAGCATGACAATGATCCCAAATACACCGCCCGGGCAACAAAGGAGTGGCTTCGTAAGAAGCATTTCAAGGTCCTGGAGTGGCCTAGCCAGTCTCCAGATCTCAACCCCATAGAAAATCTTTGGAGGGAGTTGAAAGTCCGTGTTGCCCAGCGACAGCCCCAAAACATCACTGCTCTAGAGGAGATCTGCATGGAGGAATGGGCCAAAATACCAGCAACAGTGTGTGAAAACCTTGTGAAGACTTACAGAAAACGTTTGACCTGTGTCATTGCTAACAAAGGGTATATAACAAAGTATTGAGAAACTTTTGTTATTGACCAAATACTTATTTTCCACCATAATTTGCAAATAAATTCATTAAAAATCCTACAATGTGATTTTCTGGATTTTTTTTTCCTCATTTTGTCTGTCATAGTTGACGTGTACCTATGATGAAAATTACAGGCCTCTCTCATCTTTTTAAGCGGGAGAACTTGCACAATTGGTGGCTGACTAAATACTTTTTTCCCCCACTGTATGTCAATAGTCTACAACTGGAGTACTAACTATCATTACATAAAAAAACGTACAGTTCGGTATGATGTAGCCTAAGCCTGTTGAAACACACAAGGGTAGGCCTATTACACATGCATTTTGCTTGTAGAAGGTGGTCTTATAGAAGAGGCTCAACCAGTTACTCCTTAGAGATCCTATTAAATTACATGTGATTTACCTCGGAATAACTAGCCACTGTGTGTGTGTGACCACGATAGTGTGTGAATGTGTGTATGTAAGAAACGGCTAACCTCTCGCTGTTAAACAAAAACAAAATATCACAGTGCCAATTAGGCCGGCCCCAGACAGGGCCTCCGTACCGAATGGCTCGATGCCACATTAATAAAACATGGGCTCCAGCTCTGGGCTCCGCTTGCTGGCTAATTGGCAAATTAGAAAATGAGATGCGTTAAATGAGAGAACACTGCATCCGCCAGAGACAATGCCCCCCCCCCCCCCCGGTCCTACCAAGCCCCTAGTATCCTATCTTTAGTCAGCAGTAGGTTGTTGCCTCCTCGTAATATTTGGCCTCCGTATGGTGGAGCAGGTCTTCAGGGAGTTGGGTCTCTTGGTTAGTGTTCTCTTCCACTCACTCCACGGCTCCTGTTTTGTTCCAACAGGGAACCCAGTAAATCCAACAACTGTCCAAGTGTAACCTTGTATCTAAGTGATAGGGACGCCCAGTTAACACACACGTACAAACACACACACTGGCTGGGAATTGTATTGGCCAAGATGATGGAACACAGTACTATTGACTCTTCCTTGATTTTAGTGAATGATGTATTATATTAAATTAATCATATTAAGCCTAGGTAGTGTGTATTTTTTTAGGAAGTTTGGTCATAATGTATTCAATACATTTTTTGTGAAATAAGTCATTTGTTTTGTTGCGACTGTTTCAACTTACCAAAGTGATTTTAGTTTTTTGAGCCATTTCACGTGGATGATGCGACAAGTGATCATATTGCATACATTGAGAGTGATCATTATCTTTTAAAATAAGGCCTATAATTACTCACATCACTATTACCAAGTCTCTTGCCATATCATGTCCATTTATTGAATGAGTCTATGTTTGCTTGAGTACAATATAGTAACTGCCTGGAACTAAGTCAAGTCAGACACTGTAATACATTTACCAAAGTCCATGTTAACGTTTGGCTTCTAGTGAAGTGAGTGTGAGGAGAGAAGCCTGCCTTGCCTTCCCATTTCCCTCCAGCACAAGTGGCTCACTTGTGACATCTGTTGGAAGAAAGAGTAATTACGATCATTAAAACACAAGTTACCCACTTATCAAACATTTATTTTATTTAACCTTTATTTAACTAGGCAAGTCAGTTAAGAATAAATTCTTATTTACAATGACGGCCTACCCCGGACAAACCCTCCCCTAACCCGGACGACGCTGGGCCAATTGTGCACCGCCCTATGGGACTCCCGATCACTGCCGGATGTAATACAGCCTGAGATCAAACCAGGGTCTGTAGTGACACCTCTAGTACTGAGATGCAGTGCCTTAGACCGCTGTGCCACTTGTGAGCCAACATACACAAACCTTAATCTATCCTAAACTAACCCATTTATCATCCATTTGGACTTTGATCTACACTGAACAAAAAGTGTTGGTCCCATGTTTCATGAGCTGAAATAGATCCCAGAAATGTTCAAATTTGGCGTGGTTACACATGGTCTGCAGTTGTGAGGCCTGTTGGACGTACTGCCAAATTCTCTAAAACGACATTGGAGGCGGCTTATGGTAGAGAAATGAACATTACATTCCCTTATATGAACTGTAACTCAGCAAAATCTTTGAAAATGTTGCATGTTGCGTTTTATATTTTTGTTCAGTATATTTGGTAAACCAATGAACTGCTAACTGTATGAACATTACAACCCTATCTCTCTACTTCTGCAGATCGTAGACACTTTCTTCATCGGCCGGTACGTCCTGCTGTCGGTGACCAGTGTGGGCTTCATGGTTGCTCTGTTCGGCCTGCTGCCCCTGCATTTCCTGGAAGCTGTCTATGCCAAGCCCTTGAGAACCCACTAGAGCGGAGCGGCCAGGCCAAGTTGACCCGCTAGACTAGTGGCCAGAGCTGTATGTGCAGCGCTGGAGATGAGTAAAGGCCAGCTAAGAGGGGCCCTAGTAAAATGGAGCGCAGGACAGGTTGGCACCTGAACCAAAACACAGGCAGGGCCAATGTTTTCTATGTGATCGACTGTTGTGTTTGTTGTTGGGGGGAGTTTTGGGCCAACCGCAATTTAAGATATGCCAAAATGTTGTCTGGTATAGGCCACCCTAACATAGATGATACGTTATGATGTTTTGTATATGGATAGCAAGTAGTTTGAGTTGTAGTGGTGGGGTAGCAGTTGCATTAACGGAATGCATTTATCTCTATGGCCTGATTCAGAAGTTCAGAGGATAAGACTGATTTTAACTGTATGTATATTTCTGACATTTACTTTTTTTACTCAACTTGTATTTAAAAAACAATACAAATATTTTATAAGACAACTTCATTAAACATTTCATTGTTGGTTATCCCGCCTACTGAAAACTTTCCTTCTGCTAGAAGTGATTGAAATATAGAACTTCGTCATCATACTAATTCCTTCTAGCAAAATCATCCAGTATCAAAATGCCACTAAAGAACTCAGGCCTAGTCCTGCTGTAGCAGGCCCTGTTAAGAATATGCATAGCGCTGTTTGTCTACCACGTTCAGATGCAGCCAGGTTGCTTTTTGAGTGAGTCTGATGAACTAAGATCTCTTCTTTGATTACAGTCCTCATAGCTGTCTGATTCATGAAGCCTCTCAAGTCAATCAAGCTAATTGAATGAAGAGAGAACTGTCAGTAGCGACGCTGTGATATACTGTGATGTGAAGTAGTAGCCCTCTCACGTAGTTAAATGGAGTGAGCGTGTTCATTAACTCCAGATGCATCCTGTGTTCTGTCACATTTGCCGGCATTTAAACCAGATAGATTGGATCTGCACTCGACTACATTGAAATGTAAATTTTTCAACTGACTGATGCCTTCCTTCTTTGAAAGACTGTCTCATACCTCCAAACAATAAAACAAAGCAGGAAAGCACAAATTCTGGTTTTGTGGTTGTCCCACAAAAACTTAAAGCAGCATTTCTTTCCTTGAACAATGGGCACTATTTTAAAAAAGTTATTTTGTCATTTCAAGTCTCAGATAAAATTGCATAAATGCTCCTCAGAAGTGTGCATTGTATAGCGTGCACACTCATCTTCACTAATCCTAAAATTAGATGTACTCTCCAGGACAGCAAACTGTAATCATACGGTATATCAAGTTTCCCTATATTATTCAGACAGCAACAAATGTGATGTGTGATACTAGGCGGCCAGGCCTGTAGAAGTATCGTAAAAGACACAAAAACTATATTCTAAAAGGAATCCAATCAGAAGCAGTAGGGGTACAGCAGGGGTCTATTATTGGTAACATAACACCATGAAACAAACATGGTTCCTTTTGCCCCTTAGGGTATAGTAAGTAATCTATAGATGTAAGATGGATGCCCTCTCTCCTGTATGTCATCAACCATTTATCTCTAATCATACCATTCTGTTGCACAGTGGTGTGGTTATGATAGTATCACCAATGATTCCACAGGGGCTCAATTTCCACTGCTCAGCCCATCTCTTGGCTCCTTGCAGACCCCTATTTAAAGTGCAAAGCCCGACGGGACGTGCAGTGAAATTCCAACCAGGATGATGAAAGAGAATCTAATGAATCAAAACCAATCCTATTAGTTCCGGCCCAGATCTCCACACAGAGGCCTTTTCCACACGGTCAGGCCCATCCACCACCACAGGTCCCTCTCACACAGGCTGGGAAATGGGTGGTGGAGCCTGGCCTGGGATGTATCTGAGACCATTCAATCCAAGGGGGGGTGGATTCCTTGCCTGTAATCGAGCATGTGATTACCACGAAACATGGTCTTCGCCATAGTGGTAGAATGTTTTGAAGCGTAGTGACACTTGTTCGATAGGATTTACCTGGGAGGTGTAGAAAACGAATGTGGCCTACGCGTTGAAATGTTATCAGATACTAATATATTCGCAAATGTGTGGGGGTTGTCGTTGAAATTTACCTTTTTTGAAAGGTTTTTCATGCAACAACAGTTGGTATTTCAAGGTCGCCATGCAGCAGATGCCACCGATTACCACATCTTCAAGCTGCCTCAGGCTCCAAATCTGACAGTTCAGGACCTGCGCAAGACGCAAGCCCAAAGTTCTTTGCTCCAGCCGATCCAACTCTTTCTCACTCTTTCTTTTGCTTTATCCCTTTTTTTCGTTATCATTTTTGTTACCAAACTCCCTCTCTAGGGAGTGGGAAAATGGGCAGAACAAAGCGTCTGGGGGGTAAAGCTCATTTGGAACCTCGATCCAGAGCCTTTGTGGAGCAGCCAGCTGGACATACAAAGAGATGGATGGGGGGGGAGAGAAAAAGAGAGGGAGAGAGAGATGTGGGGGCAAAGAGGTGTGCAAAGCCCAGGATGTGGGAGTGGTGCTTGGTTTTGAAGCAGAGGAGGGGGAAAAGGAGGGGAAGGGGAGTGTGCTCCTCACTAGAGCCTGTTTTGAGATGCACTGAAGCAGAACTCTTGCCTTGCCTCCCACACCCTATCCTCTATCCTCCGTTCCTAGTGCAATATGGCCAGTGTCATCAAGCCTTTCCACTCTCACCCAAGCTAACCCTGAAGATCCTCTATCAGTGCTCCAACATCCTGACCCACGTTTAGAGTATCCCATCCATGCTGTTTGACAGGAGACGAGAGCCCATGGTTTAGCACTGGCGGTACTGACGATGGATCTTGGATCCACTCGGCTGGCAAGTTTTCAGCAGGTCTCCGTTGCCAATTTGTTGTAGGTTTCAAAACCTTATACATTTTTTGATAAGGGCTTATACAGGGGAAAGGCAAAAAAAATTGGTCAGCTGCTTCTATATCCCTTAGAGCCTGAATTTCATCAAGGCTCCCTGCCCAACGAGTGGAACTGGGAACATCCAAACCTCCAGCGAGTCCCCTCACTACCCTGGCTTGGCTGGCTGCTTCACCATAGCTGGGAAATTAGTTGTTTTGGGGGATAGAAATGAACTTGGTGCCGGGTTGCCATGGCAACAGCCGATGTATTTTTGGGGCCGAGGACTGTGGATTTTCTCACTGCCGCCCCGGTCTCACTCCATTACCCCCTTTGTGCGAGGCCAGAGGGTGCTGTCAGCGCCCCACACATCCAGAGTCCCAGGAGCTGGCGTCGCCTCTGCCTCTTACCCCTCTCTCAGGAGGGGATTACCTCCTCCCGGGGTGAAGATGAAGGCCCAATTTAGAGGTCAGAGTGCTCTCCAATGGTCCCGTCAGCTCAGACCCGACAGCCTATCGCGGGGAAAAGCGTGGCTCTTCGGGGGTCCCTCGGTGACTGTGGGGAAAGGTGTCCGAACGTGGGCCACCTCCCGGGGAAGGGGTTACGGTGTCAGGCTTTAGAAAGACTGTGGTCATAATGATGGAGAGAGAGATGGGTTGTCTGTGGTGGGTGGTCACTGCAGTCCAAAGGAAAGATCTGTTGATACAAATAATGAAATGTGTGTGTTTGGTGGTCCGGTCAGTTCATACACAGGGAGGATAGGACACACCTGTTGGTCTTGCTCTTTGTATCAATTGGAATCAGAGTGATTTTCTCTGGAATAGCATCAATGAAGTGTTGAAGAAATGGGTAACGATGCAAGAGGTGTTTGTACTATTGACTTGGCACAGAAATGTTCCTTAAATGGAATAGTGATAGGTCATTGAACTCAATAATTTGACTTTGGAGCTGAATTCACATTGGAAAGATGATGTAGCCAACCAGATAATAAAATCAGGGAAGTTTTATGAGGTTTACAGTTTGGCTAGCTATGTATCGTAATGTGTACTGCTCACTGCTGGAATAGATGCATACAGCAGAAGGGACCAGTCATAGTGACTTTTAGTACATCAACGTCAAGTCTGTCATTGTCCATTAGCGGTTGCAGGGCACAAAGAGAAGATTGTCAAGAGGTTGTTGGGATAAAACCCAAGATCAGGTCCGATGTGTTAGCCCAGCATGGTACCTCTGTTACCTCTGTTTCCCCAAGTCCTCTAGTCTCCAACCAGCTGGACTGGATAGTGATTGTTGAAACATCGGACCAGACCATTTCGACAAGGTCGTTGTAAAAAACGTTTGTCTGATTGTGATCGCTGAGCCAAGATGATGTACGAGGGCTCATACTGTGCGAGCAGGCAGCTACAAATTTGCCTGGCTAGTTGCGCTAGTGGGGGCTGGGCAATGGGGATTTGAGTTGCCTCGTTATAGGAAGACCGCAAGGGGAAAAAATAACCCTTTGTGGACCTTTTTTCCCTTTCACTTCTTCCTTATCAAAAGGAACTGGCGTTCTTGTGGCCAGATAATTGATACGTGAGCTCCAAAAATGAAATTGTTACTGGTGAAAATGAATTATCTACACCTCAACAAATGAGAATGCTCCGGCCTTAATGTCTAGTTTTGTTCCTTCTTGCATTTGGCTTTTCATGGTGTATTGTAATATTCCTTGTTGGGAAAGCATGAATATCCTCCAACAAAGGCTTGCCCTTTCTTGGCATTGATGCATTTAGAGTTATCGGAGAGGGTCAGAAACACTCCCTCTCCAATCCTCGGTCTAAAGCGCTATGGGCAGGAAAGGGGGGCACACAGTAACAGATACCGCCTGCCTATTTTGGTCAGTCTTCATTGAAGAAATAATCTCAGAACACAAACCAATGGGTGGGGAGGAGTGATGCATATCCAATCCCCTTGATGGTGCGGAGTGGAGAAAGTGGTATTGTGCTGGACTTGATCAGTCAGCTGTTAGACACTTGATTAATAGAACTGATCTAGCTTTAGTAAAACAGACTTCCCTTTCTCCTCCCCCTTCAGGCCTTGTTTTCTGTCCCCTTGCCCCGTGCAGAACTAATGACGCAGATGTTGTTGGAGGAGACAGGACCCCTTGGTCCCCTTCTCTGCGCTCCTCTCCCAGCATGGGGCCTGAAACTTGTTTTTCAACCATTGCCCCCCCCAAAGAAAAAAGAGGCACAGAGAAAGAGAAGTGAGAGAGCAAGGAGTGAGGCAAAACAAATAAAGAGGGAGGGAGGGAAGGAAGGGGAGCACAGAAGCCAGGGTGCAAGGAATATAAAGAAAAACATTTTTTATAACAATCTCCAGATAATTTAACGCAGGGCGGTCTATGAGTTGTCAGGAGAGAGACTAGCTGAGATGTGCCTGTTCGGGCTCAAAGTCTACCAGGGGCAGAGATGGTGCGCTAGACACGGAGCTTCGGCATAGAGCTGTGTCATCCATATAGGGAAGACGCGGAGGCTAGAAGATGCAGGTTGGAATGTGTCTGCTCTGGGCGACCTGGCTCTATACCTGGGCGGAAGGGTCACGCCAGTGTCAGTGCCAATGCACCTGTCTACCTGAGCCGGGATTGGCCAAGGGGTCAAAGACACAGGTGAAGGATCATAAGGAGCATGTCCGTCATCGTTTGGAGCACCGGCAGCATCAGCCTCATAGGGACAGGCCACACTGGAGAAAAGGTAAGCACCCCCCTTCCTGCAATTAGGCATCATATTGATAATGCAGTACTGATTAGGTAATGTATATTTGATCAACTATCGGTGTATTCAAAAATAGTACAGAATGACATCACCAAGTTTGCAATCAAAGTCTAATAAGTGTTGGTCCCATACATATTTTGTATCCAATTAACTACTTATGTACAGTTAAATACATACGAAAAATGATCAGTTATATATGAATTATGCAAGCTTTTCATTTGCATGTTAAGTGTATTATTTATTTGTAGAGTGAGACAGCTATGCCTGCCCCAAGCTGTTATGAGAATCATTGCACTCAGCATGTGTCCTAGTGTGTGGACCAATGCGTGACATCTTTAAGATGGAAAACACAAAAACATGTATTGGACGATTGATAGAAAACCAGTATGAGGCGACTTGGGTCAGATTCATCCGAGTTTACTCTTGTTCCTGTATTGGCATCAAAATCCCTGCTGTTTCCTGTTGATAAAGCTTACATTTACAAATACTTTTAACCGTCTTTGTTTCTAAGGTCTGAGCTGAGGATCTAGTGATGCAAACATTTTGGGGGTTGCAATTTAGCTATTTCTCTTCTGGTTGAGAATATGTGAATTGACCTGGAAGAAGTTCAAATACCTTAACAATAATTTATCCTCAGTGGAATTACTTTTCGTGATCTCTGACCTGGCTTTCGGTGTGTAACTATACAAATGATATAGCACTGGATTGGTTCTATTTTGAGATATACTTGTGTATTGTGGCTTCAAGAGATTGCAAGTATATACTGTATCTTTCTAGCTTCTTTTCAAAGGACACTTCAAAATCTTTTGACATTAAGTCCCTCTTTTTTAACATTATTTTTCTCATTCCATTCATCCCTCTCATCCATTCAAACACTTAATTGACCTTTGGAACTTTGACATGCAAAGAGGTCAATTTTTTTAAGCAATCCCTCAGCACATATTTAACCCAACATAATTTCCATGCCTTGTGTTTAGAGCGAGCCATCCTTCTTCAGCCTCTCTAAACCTTTTGTTACCATCTAGCACGAGTTGTTGGATCAATATAAGCATCCGTGACCTCGACTGGGCCTTTTTAGACTGAAACAATGGCCGGTTCACTAAACAACACTTTATTTATGTGTTCTTTGGGAGGTAATGAACGATTAGTTACCGGAGTGTAACTCCAGTTCTATGAGTGGAGCGGAGCCCCATAGGGGAGCTCTGCTCCTATTGGTTCACCCACTGCCCTAAGGCAGCATCAGCCTGAGACAAAATTATGCACACACCTGCAGCCAATAGGAGTACAGGTGTCCCTATAAGAGGGGATGCCTCCCCTCAATCAGCCTCCCGAGAAATTATCTTCAGCGAGACTAGAGAGGGTCGGCAGGGCCTTAAGTCCTATGGGGCTCCGCTCCACTCATAGAACTGGAGTTACACTCCGGTAACTAATCGTTCTATATCGTGGAGCTCCGCCCCATAGGGGAGCTCTGCTCCTATTGGTTTAAGGCGCAGCGTAGCGCTCCAAAATGTACTCCCTGCCGAGCCCAACACTTCCCATCAAATGAAAAGGTCAGGCCTAGCAATGGCTGCAACCAATTCCCGCAGTACTGTAACCACTGTACCCATACAGGCGTCACAATATACCGCGTCATCGGTTAAAGACCCGCCCCACCTAGTCCAATGGCAACACCAATGACTAGTGGGCAGATCACCAGAATACAGGCCATACTAATCTGAACTAGCAGATAGATGTTACCTCAGTATCCTGTTACAATACTACCGACCACTAATGGAATGACACAAAGTGTCACTCTACATTGTGTACACGGTAGTCCGCCTCACTCAATCAATGGACCCCAGAGATTAGTGGGCAGATCCCAGAACATGATTCATACTAATCTGAACAAGCAGATAGATGACATCACATTCCGTCCAATTGTCATGACCGGTCTAACAGTATCGTAACCCAGGTTACTACTATTATCCCTCATCATCCCGCCTCACTCCAGTGAAACACTGGTGGGCAGATCAATACATGACCTCTACTGTACTGAACCTGTCAGTCAGGAGTCATGCCAAAAATATGTCCTTCTATTGGAAGCGGACCTTATAGAGACCCTGTCTCCACAGTCCTGCATTCCTCTCTTCCTAGCTCAAAGTCTCCCTTCAGCCACGCTGAGTACAGACTGAGCCAAAGAGTTAGAAGACATATCCAAGAGATAGAAACGGATAAATGGAGACGGTGTTGACCATGACGCCGCTCTACATATATCCTCTACCCCTGTTCCTCTGAAAAGGGCAGTAGAAGCTGCTACTCCACGAGTGGAGTGAGCTCTGATACCCTGAGGCAACTGTCGCCCTGCTGCCTCATAAGCTGTCTCAATGCTCTCACAGAGCCAATGAGACAGACGCTGTTTCGAAAGTGGTCTACCTAGTGCAGCCGCACCATGACACACAAACAGCTGAGGCGATGACCTAATCGCTGCTGTGCGCTCAACGTAACACGCCAAGGCGCGTACTGGGCACAGGCGATGGAGCCTTTCTTCACTCCTCTCTCTATGAGGAGGAGGAGAAAAAGCCCACAGCTCCACGGTCTGTGATCTATATGAACTCCTAATAACCTTCGGCACAAATGCCGGGTTAGGACGTAACACCGCTCTGCTCAGATCGCCATTAATGGCCAGGCAGTCGGGTCTCGTCGAAAGAGCACATAAATCACTAACATGCTTAGCCGTAGTCAAAGCGAGCAACAGCGCTGTCTTCAAAGACAGCATCTTGAGGGGTATTTGATTCAATGGCTCGAACGGCGACTTACATAGCGCTTCGAGTACCAAAGCCAAATCCCACTGAGGAAGCGTGGCTCTAGGTGTTGGCCTAAGCTGCTGTGTTCCTAATAGGAAACGTTTCACTAGAGGGTGGCTAAAGACATTGTCTCTGCCAAACCCCTCATGACAAGCTGAAATCGCCGCTGCAAACACCTTAATGGTGGCGGGCGATCGCTGCTTGTCAAATATAAGCTGTAGGAAAGAGAGAATACTCTCAACCTGACAGCTCATGGGGTCTACACCTTGTGTGACACACCATTGTGAAAACACGTTCCATCTACTGGCGTACATCTTAGAAGTGGAACTGGCACGTGAACCCTGTATGGTCCTGATCACCGCATCAGATAACCCACGGCGCTCTAGCCTGTCCCTCTCAGCAGCCAGGCCTTCAGTGGTTGGCCGATTATGGGCAACCGCCCCATCGTGCCCCCCGCCTGAGACAACGCGTCCCGTCGATGTGGAATTGGCCAAGGTGGCGCAATCAACATCTGACTCATCTCCGCAAACCAAGGAGCCCCTGGGCGATCGGGGGCTACCAGTATCACTGACAGCCCTCCTGATCTCACCCTGGCTAACAGTGGGAGAATGCAGGACAGCGGAGGGAATGCATACAGAAGAACTCTCGGCCACCGGTGATGCGCAAAGGCGTCTCTTCCTAGTGGCGGTTCTTCCTGTTCCCTTAGAGAGAACCATAGGGGACATTAAGCGTTCACACGTGACGCGAATAGATCCACCTCGGCTCTCCCGAACTGTTCCCAAATTTGGAGAACAATGTCCGGATGCAGACACCACTCGTCGTCTCGAGGACCCCCTCTTGACATGAGGTCTGCTCCTACGTTCAAGTAGCCCGGAATGTGTGCTGCTCCCAATGAGCGAAGGTGCTCGTGAGCCCACAGCCACAATTCCTCTGCCGCCCGATGGAGAGCAGGAGACCTGACTCCTCCCTGGCGATTTATGTGGGCTACTGTGGTCCGGTTGTCTGACCCAGACCAGCACATCGCGACCCCGAAGGGTAGACGCGAAGTGGGTCAAAACCAGTCAAACCGTTTCCAACTCCAAGAGGTTGATGTGGCGACTCGAAGGAGGCCACACACCTCCTATCGCTTGGGTCTGACATGTCCCTCCCCATTCCGTCAGAGACGCATCTGTGAACACTGGGATGTAAGAGGACACTTTGCCTATCGGGACTCCGTGCGTGAGAACGCGCAGGTTTCTCCAATAGTTCAGATCTGCACTGAGCGAGAGGGGAACCACCACCAACCGATGACGTTGACGCAACGGGTCTAGTCTCAGTTGGGCGAACCATCGCTGCATCCTGTGCATGTGCAGGAGTCCCAGCGGAACCACAGAGTGGGCTGACGACATGAGACCCAAGAGTGACATGATCGACAGTGCCGTCACTGTGTGATTCGGACGACACTTCCTCAGGGCTAGCAACAAGGCTACCCTTCGGGGGTCCGAAATTCGAGCCCTCATCATTACAGTGTCTAGCTGACAATCTGATGACTGGGCCAGGGCGTGCTCTTTTTCCAATTCACAGTGAATCCCAGACGTGTGAGATGAATCACTGTGTTGTGTGAGTGATCGCCAGCTCTGCTGACGGGGCGAGAACCAGTAGGTCGTCTAGGTAGGCTAGTAGCCGTATTCCCTGACGACGCAACGGTTCCAATGCCGCCTCCACACACTTGGAAAACGTGCGAGGTGCCAGGGCGTACCCGAATGGCATCCTCGTGTATTCGTACGCCACCCCTTGAAAGGAGAATCGCAGAAACTTCCTGTGACGCGGCTGTACCGGCACATGAAAGTACGCATCCTTTAGGTCTATGCTCGTACAAAAGTCTCCTTTCTGGACACATTCCAGCAGACGTTTTGTCGTTAGCATTCGAAAGGGCCATTTGGTTACGCTCTCGTTGAGAATGCGTAAATCCAATATTGGCCTCATTCCCCCCGTATTTTTTGGCACTAGGAAGTAGGGCGAATATAGCCCCTTGTTCCTTTGCTCCTGGGGAACCACTGTGACCGCCTCCTTCGCCAAAAGTTCCGTAATCTCTGAAACCAGAGCGGCCACTTTTTCGGGCGTTTTCATCACCGTCTCCACCACTCCCCTGAATGGGGGTGGGGTCCGATGGAATTGGAGAGCATAACCCTTCTGCAACGTCTGTTGTAGCCAGCGTGAGAGGGTGCAGCTTCGCTGCCACTGCCAGCAATACAGAGAAAGCGGCCGAGCGCGAAGCTGTGGTACATTCAGTAGGAAGGACCTGTATTCCTCTATGGCCCTTGCCGCCGCTGTTCCCCAACACTGAGGTGGTGGAACAGCCCAAGGTGGGCCTCCCAAGAAAGAGAGAGGAAACATTAGTGCGTTATGAACCAAAAGGGGGGGCAGAAACGTCAGTTAAACCCGTAACCGTCGTATTCCTGCCCTCCGTGAACGCAGCGCGGGTCTGAATTGCACTGACCGAGGCCACAGCCTGCGACAGGGCACCATCCCCAGCAAGCGATTGCGTCATCGTAGGTGACTGCAATTCGCTATTAGAGTCCCTCACTACAATACTCCTCGAAGTCTGTAATATGAGGTCTCTATGAGGTAACACAAGGCGGCGCCTTGATACCGTCTTACCCTTCACCTTCTGTGTGTGTTCAACTCTGCACCTCTGGTGGGTTGAGTCACGCTCAGTGTGGTGAGTATTAGCACGTTCAAAGGTAAGTGGGGGCGCCGATACACTGGGCACCTTCGTGACCGTGGTAATCGGGCCCTCCGTGAAAGCAGCATGGGTCTGAATCGCACTAACCGAGACCTTAGTCTGCGATAGTGCGCCATCCCCAAATAGCGGCTGCGTCATCATGTCTCCTGACTGAGACTGCAGCCTGCTATGAGAGGCACTCACTACAGTACTCCTTGGAGTCTGTAATGTGAGGTCTCTTTGAGATAAACCAAGACGGCGTCTAGGTATTTTTCCTCCTTTCACCTCCTGTGTGCGTTCAGCTCTGCACCTCTGGTGGGCTGAACTACACTCAGTGTGGTGAGCATTGGCGCGTTCAGAAAAAAGTGGGGGCGCCGATACACTGGGCACCTTCGTGACCGTGGTAATCGGGCCCTCCTTGAACGCAGCATGGGTCTGGGTCGTACTAACAGAGACCTTAGTCTGTGATAGTGCGCCATCCCCAAATAGCGACTGCGTCATCATGTCAGAGTCTGACAGAGACTGCCGTCTGCTATGTGAAGCACTTCTTATACCTGAAGTGTTATGTGAACCTACTCTGAATGCCTGTTCAGCAACGCACCCTTGGTGGGCTGAACGGCGCTTAGAGTGGTAAGGGAGAGAGGGTGAGATTTGAACGCTCTCGGACGTATTATGGAAAAGGGGCTCTTTTTTGACAAAGTCAGGTGGAGCCAACTCTTTATTAAACACATCAACAAAAGCATTTACATCATCATCCATCCCTTCAACTGAAGGGTGCGGGGGAACAGTGGTCACGTTCAAGGATGGCGTGTCCTCCATTCGCTCCCCCGCGTCCCGTCATGTGCGCCTCCTCTTGTGGCCTCCCTTAGGGGCCCAGTTCGGTGCTCTCACCACCTCCCTCGCCGGCTGCAATGGGGCCACCGTGGCTGCTGGGGGGGCTGGGCCCGCTCTCCTCCTGTGGCCGCCGACTGGCGCCGGATACGCCGCCTCGCTGTAGATCCTTGTCTACTCTGGGGGGCGGAAGTGGATGGTTTACGAGACGGTGCAGTGCCTAACCTCCCTGCCAGTGGCAGGTGTCTGGCCAACTGCTTCTTTTCCTCGTCCAGTTTGGAAAACCTCTCAGTCGCCTCTTTGACGGCGACTCCAAAGAGCCCTTCGTCAGAGAGGGGGGCGTTCAACGGGGTCGTTCTGTCTGCTTCCTTCATGGTTGTCAGTGACAACCAGAGGTGTCGCTCCGCGACCACCGAGGTGGCCATGGACCTCCCCGAGCAGACGGCCGATGCCTGTGTTAGGTGTAGGATGGCGGCAGAAATTCTAGACGCCTCCTCCACCTCCTCTGGCTCCAGCGCTGTCTTACCCGTGGTTAAACGGGACAGAGCGGCTGCCAAGAGGGCAATGTTGTTAGCTGCTGCTACAGCTTGGGCTCCCAAATTGAAGGACTTCTCTAACAGCTGTGCTGTGAGACTGTCCTTCTGAGATGGCAACGTGGCTTTCTTGGAAGAGGGCCAGGGACTCGAACCCGGTACGAGATACGCCGCCATGGCGCTCTCTAACCTGGGGATTCCCTTAGCTTGGCCCTGGAACCTTCCCTCCACTCTAGTGAATGGGAGGTACGTTTTAGCCGGCGAACGCGCCGCTAAAGGTGCCTCCCATGAGCCCTCAATGTATTTTGCCAATGAAGGCATGGCAGGAGCTAAAGGCTCTGCCGCTCTTCTTGGCCTGGAATAGGGGCCGCCCTCCATTAAATCAACCTCCGGTGTGGAGGGAATAGGGGGCAGCGGTATTTCCAGCCGTCTAGCACCTCTCTCAATGAGAGCCGGAAAGTCCGTTCTCAGAGACGCTGCGGTGAAGGACAGGGCTTCTGACTTCTCAGAGCCCGTGTCGTCATCACCATAGGAACTAACAAGCCCTCTCTTAACCAAAGGAAAGGGGGGCTTGAATGTATGAGGGACGGGTCTGACTGTTCCATTGGAATGTCAGCCTCCTCCTCAAAGTCCCATCATCCCCTGAGTCTGCGCCGTCGGATGATGCCTCTGAAGCAGAGGCTAGTATCGACAGCACGTCCTCTAGGGGGATATCCTCCCTAAAAAACGCCCAACGCTGCTTCTCTCCTTTGTAGAAAGGACGGGAGCAGTTAGGGGGACTGCAGACGCCCTCTTTGGCATGCTGGGACCCTAGAACACGAAACATAAGTTGTGGGAGTCGCCGGCCGCCATGGAGGAGCATCTGCATTGAGCTCTGAAAATAGCTTTTGGGGGTGGAAATTCTGGTGTGCTCATTTTAGGACGACGTCGATGACTGGAAATTCAACGGCGTTCTGTCCTGAGTCTTCTCTTCTTCTCTTCGTCTCTTCTTGGCTTCTTCAGTCTAGTACCAGTCGCTGAAGATAAAGGGAGGCTGATTGGAGGGGAAGGCATCCCCTCTTATAGGGACACCTGTACTCCTATTGGCTGCAGTTGTGTGCATAATTTTGTCTCAGGTGATGCTGCCCTTAGGCAGTGGGTAAACCAATAGGAGCAGAGCTGCCCCTATGGGGCGGAGCTCCACATATAGAACTACCAGTAGTAGTTCTCCCTTTCTCTTCTCGCCATCTCCCTCCGGGAGTCCTGTTTGTACAGGATCTTGGGTAATTGGGATAAGTAACTATTAGCTCTTAAAGTCGTTTTTTATTTTCTCCTCACAGCTATGCTCTAGCCGGGCCTCCTTGTTTCTGCTGTTATGTATCACTAGGTGATGGCATCTGAGTGTCTTTGTAGCAGGGTGTAAAAGAGAGATGTTGTATCCATTTTGGCTCAATTAAAATGTCTCAATTAAAAACTCTAAACGCTAAAAGAAAACATCAGAATGCATATGTTATTCTTTAGGCCTACTCTGCATGCATCTGTAGGCTAGAGCAAGTCATACCTCTCCATAAGTCATTTAAATCAGTTGAAAAAGAAGGCTATTGACATTAGCAGATGTTGTTGAGATTGCTTCTATCTACAAAACAATTCCTTGCCTTTCCCATTTTTTGCTCTGCAACGTCTTATTTGTAGTTTAGATTAAATTCTACCATGATAAACCATGAGATATGATTGCAAGAACTGTACAATGTCATCAGTTCATGAAATATGAGATTATGTCATTTCCATGTATTGTTTAGAAGCATGGGAGCCTCCTCATTTCCTGCCTCGCCATGCAGTGTTGACAGAGCTGCTGCTACAAATGGTTTTCAATGAAAAACATGGAAATAGACAACCAGTCCACATGTCTGGCTGTATTACACTGAGTGTACAAGACATTAGGAACACCGTCCTATTATTCAGTTACACCCCCCTTTGCCCTCAGAACCGCTTCAATTCGTTGGGGCATGGACTCTACAAGGTTATAGAAAGCGTTCCACAGGGATGCTGGCCCATGTTGATGCCAATGCTTCCCACAGTTGTGTGAAGTTGGCTGGATGTCCTTTGGGTGGTGGACCACTCTTGATACACACAGGAAACTGTTGAGTGTCAAAAACCCAACAGCGTTGCAATTCTTGATACACTCAAACCAGTGTGCCTGGCACCTACCACCATACCCTGTTCAAAGGCACTTAAATATTTTACATTTACATCATTTAGCAGACGCTCTTATCCAGAGCGAATTACATTTATTTTTTTTCATACCCCCTGTGGGAATCAAACCCACAACCCTGGCGTTGCAAACGCCATGCTCTATCAACTGAGCTACATGCCTGCCGGCCATTCCCTCCCCTACCCTGGACGACGCTGAGCCAATTGCGCGCCGCCCCATGGGTCTCCCGGTCACGGCCGGCTACGACAGAGCCTGGATTCGAACCAGGATCTCTAGTGGCACAGCTAGCACTGCGATGCAGTGCCTTAGACCACTGCGCCACTCAGGAGACATTTTTTTGTCTTGCCCATTTACCCTCTGAACCCTCTGAATCTATGTCTCAATTGTCTCAAGGCTTAAAAATCCTTCTTTAACCAATCTCCTCCCCTTCATCTAAACTTATTGAAGTAGATTTAACAAGTGACATCAATAACAGCTCATAGCTTTCATCTGGATTCACCTGGTCAGTCTATGCAATGGTAATGTTTAGTACACTCAGTGTATAAGCATTCAAAGAATGCAGGCAACCAAATATAAAGGCAACCAATATAGCTTATGAGGATCAATATTGCTGTAGGCTACCTCAAGTGATAACCTCAAATTGGCACTTCAAATGAGGGAAAATTGAAATAGATGTAAACAAATAATGTAGGCTTCAAAGTGCCCCAGATGCAAATGATCTTATTATTCTATGAAAAAGTTTTGCGTTTGTGAAAAAGATTTATGTTCAAAGTAGACCACAATAGCCTATATCCTGTGTAGACTATGTGGCAGTGCTTGTATTACTCGCCATCTATCCCAATGATGTGTTGGTGATTAAAAGGTGGTTTAAGCCCCTCGGCGACGAAAGACTGAAATGTTCAGCTTGGGAGTTAAAACGGGGGAGTGTCACTTTTTTTAGGCGGCGACTTGTTGCCACTTTGCCTACCTCTATTCTACTCGCATCGTAGTCACTTGGATCTGTTGCTAATTGCATTGGCGCTCACTTGGATTCAGATAAGGCGTTCATCAATGTGAGACGGAATGGCAAACGAAACACCCATGGAATTATCTGGAAAATCGTAATCAATCCTGAGAAGAAACATCCCCAAATGGAACTTTGATTCGTGCGTAAAACAGGAAACGCGCGTCCTCAAGTGAAGTAATATGCACCAGATAGGTGAACGACGCAATAACGATTTGTTTACATACTTTGGTGTCCTAACATAAAATGACGGAACAGGTGTTTATAAGACTGTTGGTATTTTTCGCAACTCTTGGCAACCTTGCAGGTAAGGCTTTTATTTTGAAATGATACATGTAATGTACTGATGGCATATGGTAAACATATATGTTAATGCATTTAGAGTTGATTTAATTCTCACTATTATAAAGTTAATTATAAAAGTAGTTGTAGCCTATATTTCCACCCTATTATTTTTCAATGGATCGGTTATTGTGGCCTGGTTTGTAAGGCCTATTTGAATGAATGGAGCTCATTCTCAAAATAAGTTTCTCTCTCAACAACTGTTTACAAATGGAGATTCCAGTGGTATCAGACACCATTTGTTTATTGATAGGCTTAGCTTTTTAACGCCAGGCTTTAGCCATATATGTGATACATAGCAAATAGAGTTCTCTCCTTTTTGTGATTTTTGTTTGTTTCCCCTGATTGCTTCAAATAGTTTTCCTACTTTTCAATTGCACTTTGTTGTTCAGTAAATAATTAACAGTTGATGTTAATTGTTTGACACAATACTAGGCTATTGTTATTCCAATCTATATGGAAGTGACAATTTAGAAAATAGTATTAGTCTACTCTAGAGGTTTTGAAAAGAATATGCATATTATGCAAATATTATATTGAATTGAAACTGCTTTTCATTTTTCAAAATAATTTTATGACTTAAGTGTGGGCTCTCCCTCAGGAAATAGCTTTGTATGAAACAATCGAGACTTTGCAAGCCACTGACAAAAATGTCTTATCTCACAATCAGGCGTAGACCAATGGCTAGCCTAGTGTTGCAAATTATATTTGCAAGATTAGCTGATTGTAACACATCTGAAATCCTATCAAAATGATCCTGCCAGGCCTCCCGAGTGGCGCAGCGGTCTAAAGCACTGCATCGTAGTGTTGCGGCATCACTACTGTTCTAGTTGCGATATTTACATTTTAAATTTGTCATTTAGCAGACGCTCTTATCCAGAGCGACTTACATTGAGTGCATACATTATTTTTTAAATGTTTCATACCCCCCGTGGGAATCGAACCCACAACCCTGGCATTGCAAACGCCATGCTCTACCAACTGAGCTACATCCCTGCCGGCCATTCCCTCCCCTACCCTGGACGACGCTGGGCCAATTGTGCGCTGCCCCATGGGTCTCCCGGTCGCGGCCGGCTACGACAGAGCCTGGATATCAAAATCAACACAACTATATATAGCCTACTACAGCTCAATGGCCAAAGGCTGTGATTTTTATCCAATAGTACATAGCGCCAGTGTAAGCCTTAGCATCAATAGTGTCATCCTCCCAATTCCCTCCCATTGGCCCATGTGATTGGCATGTTTTGACATTGCCACTCAATATGGGCATTGTCGCCGGGGCAATAATAGCAGGGGTACATTGCCACTGCCCCGCACTCAGTGCACAGGTTACAGGTTTCCCTTTGAGCCCTCTTGATTGTGTTTGCGTGAAGGAACTTTTGTTCCATCGTTTAGTGTGGGGGGGGGAAATGGCCTTGCGACTGGTTTAGCTTCCTGTCCCATACAGGAAGTACAGCAGAATCCCCCCACTTCCTCCAACTTGGAGTCATCCAATACCACGGGCCGAACAATGGAATTCCAATGCTGCTGGCCTAAGAATAGGCATTGTTTGTTGGTAGCCGGAGCCTATGCTTGTTTGGGGTCGATGTTTTTACTTGAGTGTGTGAGCTGACCCTGAACTAGGGACCACTCTCTGGGTGTGGTGTCTCTGTACTGTAAAAGCCCACTATTACTGACTCTTAAGTATACCCATGCTCCACTTTGAAAAGGGGACAACACACTTCAGACTACTTCAGTCAGAGTTTGTTTGAGACCACTTTGGCCCATGTTTTCCTCACTACATCTCCATCTGTTATTAGCCTTTGAGTCATATTGTACTACATTGTTGCTCTCCAACACAGTAAAACTTGTTTTTGAAGGTGGGAGTTGCTTATGGCGTGAAAAGCATTGGCGAGACTCCCAAAGGTGATGCTTGTTGACATATGTAGCCTAGAAAACTGACCCAAGATCAGATTGTGCAGGGCCTCCCGCTACATGAGTTAGGAATGGAAGGTCATCCATGACTTGTGTTTATTTGTGATATTAATAGAATGGGTGTATGAATCAGTGCAAGGGATATTAATGCAAAGTTAACTCATGAGAGATACTTACAACATGCACAAAAGTACTACAGTTATGGGAAACCACAATGACTTAATCGTCTTGACCCCATTCATTGCTAAATGAATAGTATGCATAGTAATAGTAATAAACTATTGTCAGAGCTTCTGTGAATAAATAGATGCAATAGCCTATTTTGACAGAACCTGAGTTTCTCCATCGCTCCTCCATCCACTGTTCTTGTTCCCTTCAGGTTCCAGGCTGAGGGCGGAGGTGGTGGAGGTGCCCCCGCTGATCGTCCACCACCCCTCAGACGTGGTGGTCAAGGTAGGCAGCCCCGCTACTTTCTCATGCCGTGCCGACGGCACACCCGAGCCCTCCATCGAGTGGCTCCGTAATGGCCAGCCCCTGGAGATGGACAAGCTGGACAGCCAATCGCGGCCCATCGTTCTGTCGGAGGGCAGCCTGTTCTTCCTCAGCGTGGTCCCTGGGAGGCGGAGTCAGTCACATGAGGGTGTGTACGCGTGCGTGGCAAAGAACAGCGCAGGCAAGGCCACCAGCCGCAATGCCTCTCTCTATATCGCAGGTAAGACTTTGGGGAAGTCTTTCAAACTAGATGGATCTATCTTGTCATACAATACCTTCAGAAAGTATTCACACCCCTTGACTTTTTCCACATTTTGTGTTACAGCCTGAATTTTACACACAATACCCCATCATGTCAAAATTTAATTATGTTTTTTGACATGTTTACAAATTAATAAAACATAAAAAGCTGAAATGTCTTGAGTCAATAAGTATTCAACCCCTTTGTTATAGCAAGCCTAAATAAGTTCAGATCGCATAACAAGTCGCATAATAAGTTGCATGGACTCACTCTGTGTGTAATAATAGTGTTTAACATGATTTTTGAATGACTACCTCATCTCTGTAACCCACACATACAGTTATCTGTAAGGTCCCTCAGTCGAGCAGTGAATTTCAAACACAGATTCAACCTCAAAGACCATGGAGGTTTTCCAATGTCTCGCAAAGAAGGGTACTTATTGGTAGATGGGTAAAATAAAAAGCAGACATTGAATATCCCTTAGAGCATGGTGAAGTTATTAATTACACTTTGGATGGTGTATCAATACACCCAGTCACTACAAAGATACAGGCGTCCTTCCTAACTCAGTTGCCGGAGAGAAAGGAAAGCACACATGTATTTCACCATGAGGCCAATGGTGACTTTAAAACAGTTACAGAGTTTAATGGCTGTGATAGGAGAAAACTGAGGATGGATCAACAACATTGTAGTTACTCCACAATGCTAACCAAATTGAGAGTGAAATTGAAAATAAAAAATATTCTAAAACATGCATCCTGTATGCAATAAGGCACTAAAGTAAAACTGCAAAAGACTTGGCAAAGAAATGAACTTTATGTTCTGAATACGAAGCGTTATGTTTGGGGCAAATCCAACCCATCACTGAGTACCACTCTTCATATTGTCAAGCATGGTGGTGGTGGCTGCATCATGTTATGGGTATGCTTGTCATCAGCAAGGACTAGGGAGTTTTTAGGATAAAAATAAACGGAATAGAGCTAAGCACAGGCAAAATCCTAGAGTAAAGCCTGGTTGCCTGCTTTCCAACAGACACTGGGAGACAAATATACATTTCAGCAGGACAATAACCTAAAACACAAGGCCAAATATACACTGAGTTGCTTACCAAGACAACATTGAATGTTCCTGAGTGACCTGGTTAGAGTTTTGACTTAAATCGGCTTGAAAATCTATGGCAAAACTTGAAAATGGCTGTCTAGCAATGATCAACAACCAACTTGACACAGCTTGAAGAATTTTTAAAAGAACAATGTGCAAATATTGTACAATCCAGGGGCCTCATTTATCAATCATGCGTAGGCACATCTGTGTATAAACCAAGCATGGATCATTTCCACCCAAAGTGTGTGATTTATCAATAGGAATGTTTGCTTGAGAGTGTTAGTAACTTTACGCACAGCCATGACTATGCACAGTGCCAAGTGGTGGAATAAGGGAACTACTTGTCAAGCGTAGAATGGGGAAAATATATGTTGAACATTTCAAAAATTGAGAGTAGTAATAATTGTATTTCCATTGTGAATTCATGCAACATATCTTGACAGTCATAAACTTGACCATTTGTTACAATAATAATCCTTATAAAGTACAGTAATTTGTTAAATTAGAGGTACTTGTGTAAGTGAAACCATTGTTGAAATACTATAAAAGACTGAGATAATGGGAAATTGAATGAGAGGCTGATCTTGCTGTTTGAAGATTTGGCACGCTGCATTTTGTAGAGAGCGCATTTATAGAGACAGGTGGGATTTTTTTGTTGTAGAAAGTACAGGTTGGCTCATCAGATATAATTTCCCAAAACCAATCTTAAATACATTTTGCGAGGATTTAAGACCTACTTTAAAAAGGCAAACGCATGCCATTCCGGTGCAAATCCAAGTGCTATCCACCCTCGGGTTTTTGGCAACATCCACTTTTCAGCAGGAGCTTGCCAATCGGTATCTCACAGCCCTCAATGAGCCAATGTTTTGAATGCAATCATCAGCAAAATGAACTGTAACATACAATTTCCATACACCATCGCACAACAGGTTGAAGTCGAGAGGGGTTTCTTTGCCAACAATGGGTTCCCAAATACGAACGGAGCAATAGACGGCACCCACATCGTCATAAAAGCACCATCCTAAAACTATTTAATCTATGTGAACAGAAAAGGCTTCCACTCTTAATGTGCATTTGATAGGTTATTTGGTGCACAAAAGACGCTGCTGAATGTGGTGGCCAGGTGGTACGCACAACTCGTTTGTTCTGCAGAACAGCAATGTTGGCCTATACGCCTACAGGAGGGAGCTGTTGAGGATGGATGGCTTATTGATGAGTGTTGCCTACTCATTTGAAATATATTTGCCATTGCTAAAGCAACTAATTGTCTTAATGGTCCTCTCTTTGTAGCTATGTTTGAATTTTTACTGGTCAAGCCACAACTGAGCGAGCCAAATATAACCTTTTGGTTGTACTCAATCTCTGACACTAGCACCTTTATTTCATTATTGGAAAATGATTTTTTTCTAAGCTTTTTTTGTTTACGACGTATTTCATGGTACGCCGTTGTATATTCCCCATAGGCTTTAAAGGGATTGATTTATGGTTAATTAGGGACGTTTTGAAATGCAAGTAGCCAAGGTCATGCACGGCACTGAGGCTGAGAACAATTGGTATTTATCAATGGTGATCTCCTACCGGTGTGCGTATGACGCTCGTAGGATTGTTTGATAAATTACAATTTTTTCTATGCGTACGAACATTCTAAATTCCTTTTAGTAAGTAGTATTTTATAATAGTTTCTACACAATATTGTTAAATGAGGCCCCAGGTGTGCAAAGCTCTTAGACTTAACCAGAAAAACTAATCGTAATTGCTGCTAAAGGTGATTCTGACATCTCAGGGGTGTGAATACTTATGTAAATGAGACATTTCTGTATTTTGTTTTTAATAAATTGTCACAGATAATTGACCATATTTTCACTTTGTCATTATGGGGTATTTGTACAGTTGAAGTCGGAAGTTTACATAGACTTAGGTTGGAGTCATTAAAACTCATTTTTCAACCGATCCACAAATGTCTTGTTAACAAACTATAGTTTTGACAAGACGGTTAGGAAATTTTTTCAACAATTGTTTACAGACAGATTATTTCACTTATAATTCACTGTATCACAATTCCAGTGGGTCAGAAGTTTACATACACTAAATTGGCTGTGCCTTTAAACAGATTGGAAAATTCCAGAAAATGATGTCATGGCTTTAGAAGCTTATGATTGACATCATTTGAGTCAATTGGAGGTGTACCTGTGGATGTATTTCAAGGCCTACCTTCATACTCAGTGCCTCTTTGCTTGACATCATGGGAAAATCAAAAGAAATCAGCCAAGACCTCAGAAAAAAAATGGTAGACCTCCACAAGTCTGGTTCATCCTTGGGAGCAATTTCCAAACGCCTGAAGGTACCACGTTCATCTGTACAAACAATAGAACGCAAGTATAAACACCATGGGACCACGCAGTCGTCATACCGCTCAGGAAGGAGATGCATTCTGTCTCCTAGAGATGAACGTACTTTGGTGTGAAATGTGCAAATCAATCCCAGAACAACAGCAAAGGACCTTGTGAAGATGATGGAGGAAACAGGTACAAAAGTATCTATATCCACAGTAAAACCAGTCCTATATCGACATAACCTGAAAGGGGGCTCAGCAAGGAAGAAGCCACTGCACCAAAATCACCATAAAAAGCCAGACTACGGTTTGCATCTGCACATGGGGACAAAGATCGTACTTTTTGGAGAAATGTCCTCTGGTCTGATGAAACAAAAATAGAACTGTTTGGCCATAATGACCATCGTTATGTTTGGAGGAAAAACGGGGCTGCTTGCAAGCCGAAGAACACCATCCCAACCGTGAAGCATGGGGGTGGCAGCATCATGCTGTGGGGGTGCTTTGCTGCAGGAGGGACTGGTGCACTTCACAAAATAGATGGCATCATGAGGAAGGACAATTATGTGGATATATTGAAGCAACATCTCAAGACATCAGTCAGGAAGTTAAAGCGGGGCGCAAATGGGTCTTCCAAATGGTCAATGACCCCAAGCATACTTCCAAAGTTGTAGCAAAATGGCTTAAGGACAACAAAGTCAAGGTATTGGAGTGGCCATCACAAAGCTCTGACCTCAATTCCTATAGAAAATGTGTGCGCAGAACTGAAAAAGCATGTGCGAGCAAGGAGGCCTACAAACCTGACTTAGTTACACAAGCTCTGTCAGGAGGAATGGGCCAAAATTCACCCAACTTATTGTGGGAAACTTGTGGAAGGCTACCCGAAACGTTTGACCCAAGTTAAATAATTTAAAGGCAATGCTACCAAATACTAATTGAGTGTATGTAAACTTCTGACCCACTGGGAATGTGATGAAAGAAATAAAAGCTTAAATAAATAATTCTCTCTACTATTATTCTGACATTTCACATTTTTAAAATAAAGTGGTGATCCTAAATGTCCTAAAACAGGGAATTTCTACTGGGATTAAATGTCAGGAATTGTGAAAAACTGAGTTTAAATGTATTTGGCTAAGGTGTATGTAAACTTCCAACTTCAACTGTATGTAGATGGGATGTACACAACAAAATGTGGTCAAGGGGAATGAATCAAGGTGTATGAAGGCACTGTAAATGCCAAGATACCATGCAAAAGTAATTGCACACTAGGATGAAGAGAGGTACCATCACGCTGTTATAGATCATGTGAGTGAAGAGACTATGTATCTGTCTCCGCAGTGTGCAGTAACTAATCAACCACGCAAAATATTGATTAGCTGAATCATGTGTGCTTATACTGAGATGGAACCAAAGCCACACAAGGCTGCTTTCCAGGACAAGGACTGTGGAACCCTATGCCAGATGGATGTGAAAATGTGGCCTTAGAATAAATTCTGTTGTCTTAGTTGTATGGCTCTCTGTGGCTCCTACATTCTGTCCCATTCACTTCCTCTCTACCTCCATGCTGATCTTTAACGTGATATCAAGCTCATATATACGATCCTTGAGGTCAACAGGAAGCCCCCAGTATCCACAGACCCACAGAATCCTGCTCCAGAGAGAGAGAGAGATTGTCTGTGTGATTACTGAGAATAAGTAAAGGGGGTCCAATGTCAATGTTTACTCCCTCTCCAGGACAAACACTCTGCTAAATGACCCCTGACCCCCAGCCTCTGTTTGCACCCAAAACAGGGTCACCCAGAGACCGCTGGATTCCTGAGCTGGATGGTATAATTAGTGGCTGATTGACTTGTTGGGGGAACTTCCCTGGAGCAGCACATTTGGTGGTGGAGGTATAGAGACATTGGGACAATAGACAGTGGTACTTAATTTAGATTCAGTTGGCAGATCGACAGTACTTTAGAGAACAGTAGCAGATCGATTGTGGTATATTTAGCATTTAACCTTTATTTATCCAGGTTAGTGTCATTAAGATAATCGTGCAATCGTGACCTTTGTCAGTATAGTTGAACTGGTTAGGAAAAGTAGCCTATACAGCAGTGAACTGTGCATCACTGTTAATTCAAGAGTTGGGCTAAGTTCTCTTTCATTTCCAGTTCAAGAATAGCCTTATCTACATTTTAAAGAACTCCAGCTTTGGATCATTCCTTACTATTTTGCTAAACAAAAGATTGGAGATATTCTACTAGTACTTTATGGCACCATACGTGTGCCAAAATACTTTTTGTCTCATGATTCCATGTGGTGTCGCAATGGAACACCTATGTTATGACATCAGTGAAGATTTAAACAGGCATCATAAACATAAGGCCATTGTCTCTGTCCTTTTGGATATAATGGGAGGAAGCTCCTTAGACCTTCAACTATGTATTCCGTGTACAGAACATCTGGATATTTGGAGCTGTGTGATGTATGGTAATGGTTTTGTAAAAAATAATAATTCGATGAGGTTATTGTAAGCCTTGCTTGTTTTCGGTGGTCAAAACTCTCATTTGTGGGAAGCCAATTCAAGCAGGCAGTGATGTGTGTTGTGCTGGGCACGTTTCCCAGGCAATGTTTATGAACTACAGGCTTGTAGACTAACTTTGACGTTTTCGTGCAATGTGCTGTTATGGCATTGTGCACTAGCTAGTCTCAGACCCACTGCTTATGAATGGACCTCCTCTGTGGTGTGTTCTTCCAGCTCTGCGTGAGGAATTCCGGGTGCAGCCCAGTGACGTGGAGGTGGCTGTTGGGGAGGTGGCGGTGATAAACTGCAGCCCGCCGGTGGGACACCCCGAGCCCAACGTCACCTGGAGGAAAGACGGGGTCCCTATCAACGACACCGACCCGCATTACACTGTGAGACCTCCTTTAAACATAGTTACATGCTTTTTAGGGGGTTGTATTGTTTGGAAATGGGAAATTAACAGTGGGAAAGTTGTCAGTCTGTGCATTTCAGTGCAGGAGATGTATTTTCAAAACATGTAGCTTTTTCCATATTTTAATGAATCTATCGAACTTTTGTTAATTTCCCGAGGTGGCAGGAGCTGAAATGTATTCCACACCAACCTGGGGGGGTTCATCATACTGTTTTGTTTGATTACTTATTTCTCAAATCCTGATGTGGTATCATCATTTTACCAATAGAGGGCATTGTTGTACAAAAGTTTGATTAAAACCACAGGCCGCTTCATTCATTTTCGTGCTTCATTAATAAAAGAGGACCCTATCACCTTCGACTAAAAATTAAAACAAAATCATAATTTATCCTCTGCAATGGCAAATTCAGTAGCATTGTGGTTAGTGTCTCTGCTTGGCACTCAGCATTATGGAGATAGATTGGGGGTAAGGCCCTGCGATAGACTAGTGTCCTGTCCTGGGGGTGTACTTGTACATCAAGCTGTTCACTCTACAGAAACAGGAGATAGCCAAGGCTCGTGCAAGGCTATTTATCCTCTGCAATAAACCTTTTTTAACTATATGTGATTGATACCCATGTGACCTATAGGCACTGAATGGGAAGTTGATCATTGCCCCAGCCCAGAAGAATGACTCTGGCGTGTACATCTGTGTGGCTTCCAACACTGTGGGTGTAAGAGAGAGCAGGGCCGCCCGCCTGTCTGTCCTAGGTAAGATAAACCCTGACCCCATGTACAGTACATCACCATTTTAGAAATAACCTTTTCACACTACTTAACAAAGAGCTGCAGTTATTTTCAGAATGGGTGGCAAGGAATAAGTTAGTTTTAAATATTTAAAAAACTAAAAGCATTGTATTTGGGACAAATCATTCACTAAACACTAAACCTCAACTAAATATTGTAATGAATGATGTGGACATTGAGCAAGTTGAGGTGATTAAACTGCTTGGAGTAACACTGGATTGTAAACTGTCATGGTCAAAACATATTGATACAACCTTAGCTAAGATGGGGAGAAGTCTGTCCATAATAAAGCGCTGCTCTGCCTTCTTAACAACACTATCAACAAGCTAGGTCTTACAGGCCCTAGTTTTGTTGCACCTGGACTACTGTTCAGTCGTGTGGTCAGGTGCCACAAAGAGGGACTTAGGAAAATTACAATTGGCTCTGAACAGGGCAGCACGGCTGGCCCTTAAATGTACACGGGGAGCTAACATGAATGATATGCATGTCAATCTCTCATGGCTCAAAGTAGAGGAGAGATTGACTTAATCTCTACTTGTTTTTGTAAGAAGTGTTGACAAGCTGAATGCACCGAGCTGTCTGTTTAAACTACTAGCACGGACACCCATGCATACCCCACAAGACATGCCACCAGAGGTCTCTTCACAATCCCCAAATCCAGAACAGACTATGGGAGGCGCACAGTACTACATAGAGCCATGACTACATGGAACTCTATTCCACATCAGGTAACTGATGCAAGCAGTAGAATCAGATTATTATTATTATTTTTTGACATATTATGGAACAGCTGGGACTGTGAAGAGACACATACACACACATAGGTACAGACACACGCATACACACACAGGCGCTAGCACACGCACTCTACACACACGTACATTGTAATATTGTTGTATGGTGGTATTATACATTTTGTATTGTAGATATGTAGTGGTGTAATAATGTTATATGATTAACTGTCTTATCTTTTAATGTAATGTAAGTGCCTTAATGTGTTTGGACCTCAGGAAGAGTAGCTGCTGCCTTGGCAGCAGCTAATGGGGATCCCTAATAAATACAAATACTACTGCTCCAAGCTGTACTGTGCTGGCCTGATTATGCATCCACCATAGTTGCTGGAAATGACAATGTGAAAAGAACTGAGTCAGCACAGTACAGTTTGGGACTGCACAACAGTGTGAAAAAGGTATGTCATGCTGCAAAGAATGTTTGCTATTGATAAAAGGGATAACATGGAATTGAATGCATAGAGGTATGATATGACTAACCATACTTTTCGTATTTGCCCATGCTTTCTCAATCCCCAGCCAAGCCAGTGTTGGTGCTAAAGCCTCAGGATGTGTCGGTGGGGATGGGGGAGTCTGCCCAGTTCAACTGTGAGGCTAAAGGAGATCCCATGCCTGCTGTCGAGTGGAGCCGCGAGCAGGGCCTTCTGCCCAATGGCAGGTCTGATTCTTGATTCAACTAAAAAAGCTTTGTCCATTAACTGTACATTAGACTAAAAACTGTCATTGACATGAGGTGCATATCTTGACATCAGCTGCATATGTAACATTAAAAAACAATTACAAAAGACATGGAAAATGTATTAAAAATGGGTTTTGGATGAATTTGCAACGTCTGAGATCGTGCTTTTGAAAATAATTTGGTATAGTAATCTTCAACCATATTTTTACTGTGACTATCTCTCAGCTTAGCTACTGCACAGTACATATGTAATGAAATGCAATACTTAGTATACTGTTCAATAATATGTAATTATTTGATTTCTAATAATTTCATGCAGTTGCTATAGTGAATGTTGTGCTGATTTCTGTGTCATGTCTGTAGGTATCTAGTGAATCCTGACCAGAGCCTCCAAATCCACTATGTGACATCACTGGATTCTGGGAGGTACACCTGCACAGCTGTCAACGACGTGGGGGTAGTCACTGCTAGTGCACAGCTACAGGTGGAGGGTAAGAGTGCTTAGCTTGGGCCTTCACCGCTACATTTATGTGTTGTGTATTGGTTGAATATGTAATGTACAGTGTTTATGTTGTATACAGCAGGACTGTGTGTCTAAGACAATTTCGCCTCAGTGAAATTACAGTTTATCCTATCCTACCCTATTTCCTTACAGCTAAATATAATAGAATATATTTATTTATCCTAAGGGAACAGAAATATACAGCAAAGACCATATTATTCACAATACTTTTTTATGATGTCCGTGAGATGGCGGCGGAAATGAGTGTTGTTCTAAAGGAAAACATTTTTAGGATCACTATGGAACTTTATATGGAGTTTAGTTTGTGTCCATTTCAGTGCCAGTAGGGAACTTCCATTCACAGAAAAGTGTACAATATTATTTTCTATGACGATTTTTCTCCCTCCTTCACAGAAGCCGCAAGTACCAGACAGAGGGACCTTCACAGAGAGTTGTCGGTCCTGCGTGTGGCTCTGGAGAATGTGACGTTGCTGACTCCAAACTCCAACATGTCCCAAGTGCAGTGGAAGGTACGGAGATCAGACGTCACATGGAGGCGCATCTATTATTATGAAAACTGTTAGTTATTAACCTTTTGCTGAACTAAGATTGAGGTCTGCCATTTTTCATGTTTGTTCAGAACATTATTTTCATGTCACAGAGAACGTTCAAATAATGCGGATTTAAGGTTGTCTTTTTTGAGTTTCTACTCTCCAGAAATTCATATCTTATAACTGTGGCTTTCCTCTTGTTTTGTTCCTTTCAGCTCCAGTCTTTCCCAACCCAGCCTCACTACCTGGATGGTTTCGAGGTCCTCTACCGCTCTCTCCTGCCTGCCATTTCGGACTGGGCTGCTAAGAGGGTTGTACTACCCAACTTCCAAACACTGGTCGGCCCGCTCAAGAGGGGCTACAAGTATGAGTTCAAAGTGCGTCCCTATGGCAGCAGCCTGTACGGCCGGGAGAGCAATACCAGGTGTCTAGGTGTACCTGAGACAGGTAAGGGTTCATAACGGTTAGAGTTGGCTGTTTGTTATCAACTCTAAAGACACATTTATTAAAATATAGGTGTTTCTTTGGAGACTGTAGCTCAGGAGTAGTCCAACTTTATAGTGCTATTTTGCGCTAAGAAGATATGTTTTGAATCAAGATGGGTCGTGTGTGTGTGGTTTTTACACATGTATTGTTATTTTCATGACATCTTCCCACAGTGCCTAGTGCCCCACCTCAGGCCATCTCCATAACGATGACCCCTGACCACAATGACACGGTCCATGTGACCTGGAAGCCTCCCCCCCATGAAGCTCACAACGGCATCATCCAGGGATACCAGGTAAGAAGAAGATGGCAAAAAAAAACGTTTACCTTCTTGTATCTGTGCTTGAAAAAGTTACTCCAGCACACTGGCATTCTTGTATGCTCCACAATGTGTTTTATGAAATGTTTGAGAGAATGCAAGAAATTCCAGTGTGAGTTTTTTTCTGTATGTTCAGTACCTGACATAATAAATTCACATTCACACATTCTAATGAGATATTGTATTAACAGGGCGTCCGTCCTATGCAACCCTGGCCTGCAGGCTTTTGTTCAAGTGCAAGACACCTGATTCAACTAATCTGTCTTGATAGAAGTGGTTGAACTTCTTGAAGAAGACCATGATACGTTTAATCAAAGGTGTGCTGAACTGGAACAAAAGCCAGCTCTCTAGGACCAGAGTTGCCTATTACTCCTGCTGAAGCAATTACCTGTAAACAAACACACACACACAAACTGTAATGCTTCCCTGGTTCCTTCTTTGAGCTCTGGGTGTGTGTCCGTGTGACCTATCCAGGTGTGGTGTGTGCAGTCGGAAGAGCAGCAGTACCTGAACTGGACAGTGGACAGTGGGACCCACAGTCTGGAAATAACCCCTCTGTACCCAGGGAAACAGTACTGGGTCCGGGTGGCAACGGTCAACGGAGCTGGCGTCGGTGTGCAGAGTGACCCCCATAGAGTGGTCATAGGTCAGTGACAACATGCAACGGCTATCTATATGGTCAACAGAACACCACAAGGTTATGAAACCTTACATAAAACAATACTTCTATAGTAGCTTAGTGCAATTTGCAGTCCAGTTAATGCAAAGCATCAATATGGTTTGAAAGGTTTGAAGGTGAAGATGTGTAGCCACATGCAGGCCCATTCTGATCTTTTGCTCCATTATTGGCAAAAGATCTGATCTAATTGGTTAAAGGCCCAGTGCTGTCAGTTTATTAGGTACACCACCCCATTCACGAAGATAGTTAGCTCCTACAGACGGTGAGTCACAGGGCCGTGACTTGCTATATAAAGCAGGCAGACGGGCATCGAGGCATTCAGTTACTGTTCGATTGAACGTTAGAATGGGCAAAACGAGTGACCTAAGCGACTCTGAGTGTGGTATGATCGTCGGTGCCAGGTGCGCCAGTTCCAGTATCTTAGAAATGGCCGGCCTCCTGGGTTTTTTACGCACAACAGTGTGTAGGGTTTACTGAGAATGGTGCAACAAACAAAAGACATCCAGTCATCGGAGTCCTGTGGGCAAAAACAGCTAGTTGATGAGAGGTCGAAGGAGAATGGCAAGAATCGTTCAAGCTAACAGGCGGGCCACAAACAGACAAATAACGACTCAGTACAGTGGTGTGCAGAACGGCAGGTGTCCACATACTTTTGGTCATGTAGCGCTACATGACCAGAAGTATGTGGACACCTGTTTGTCCAACATCTCATTCCAAAGTCATGGGCATTAATATGGAGTTGGTCCCCCTTTGCTGCTATAACAGCCTCCACTCTTCTGGGAAGGCTTACCACTCCAGCTGACACTTGGTATTGCGCATGGTGATCTTAGGCTTGTGTGTGGCTGCTCGGCCATGGAAACCCATTTCATGAAGCTCCTGACAAACAGTTCTTGCTTCCAGGGGCAGTTTGGAACACTGTAGTCAGTGTTGCAACCGAGGACAGACAAGTTTTACGCGCTACACGCATCAGCACTCTGTGGTCCCCTTCTGTGAGCTGGTGTGGCCTACCACTTCATGGCTGAGCCGTTGTTGCTCCTAGACGTTTCCACTTCACAATAACAGCACTTACAGTTGACCGGGGCAGCTATAGCAGAGCAGAAATTTGACGAACTGACTTGTTGGAAAGGTGGCATCCTATGACGGTGCCACGTTGAATGTCACTGAGCTCTTCAGTAAGGCCATTTTACTGCCAATGTTTGTCTATGGAGATTGCATGTCTGTGTGCTCGATTTTATACACCTGTCAGCAACAGTTGTGGCTGAAATAGCCAAATCCACATACTTTTGTATATATAGTGTACATTTCTACGCTATGAGGTTGGAATAATACTGTGAAAATGATGATAATGCCCTTTTAGTGTAAGAGTTGTTTGAAAAGACCGCCTGAAATGTCAACCTGTTTTGGTGGGATGGAGTTTTGGCCTGCCTGGTGACATCAACATTACATTTACATTTTACATTTTAGTCATTTAGCAGACGCTCTTATCCAGAGCGACTTACAGTTAGTGAATACATATATATATATATATATATATTTTTTATACTGGCCCCCCGTGGGAATCGAACCCACAACCCTGGCGTTGCAAACGCCATGCTCTATCAACTGAGCTACATCCCTGCCGGCCATTCCCTCCCCTACCCTGGACGACGCTGGGCCAATTGTGCGCCGCCCATGAGTCTCCCGGTCGCGGCCGGCTGCGACAGAGCCTGGATTCGAACCAGGATCTAGTGGCACAGTTAGCACTGCGATGCAGTGCCTTAGACCACTGCGCCACTCAGGAGTATATCATCATCCCTCAGTAACTTCAAGGGAAGACTGGGGGTCAGTCTGATTTAACCAAACTACTCAGTAATCTCCTCCATATAGCCTAACTCTCACACACTCACATGCACACACACATTTAAACAAAACAAATAAATAAATAAATTCTCGTGATTACTGATCAATTCATTTCTACATTTATAATTAGTAGGTTTAACCAACCTTTTTTATTTTTGTACTTACAGTGCCTTCGGAAAGTATTCAGACCCCTTCCCTTTTTCCACATTTTGTTACGTTACATCCTTATCAATCAATCTACACACAATACCCCATAATGCCAAAGCAAAAACAGGTTTTTATAAATTTTGCTAATTTTTTACAAATAAAAAACAGAAATACCTTATTTACATAAGTATTCAGACCCTTTCCTATGAGACTCGAAATTGAGCTTAGGTGCATCCTGTTTCCATTGATCATCCTTGAGATGTTTCTACAACTTGATTGGAGTCCACCTGTGGAAAATTCAATTGATTGGACATGATTTGGAAAGGCACACAACTGTCTATATAAGGTCCCACAGTTGACAGTGCATGTCAGAGCAAAAACCAAGCCATGAGGTCGAAGGAATTGTCCGTAGAGCTCCAAGACAGGATTGTGTCGAGGCACAGATCTGGGGAAGGGTACCAAAAAATGTCTGCAGCATTGAAGGTCCCCAAGAACACAGTGGCCTCCATCATTCTTAAATGGAAGAAGTTTGGAACCACCAAGACTCTTCTTAGAGCTGGCCGCCCAGCCAAACTGAGCAATCGGGGGAGAAGGGCCTTTGTCAGGGAGGTGACCAAGAACCCGATGGTCACTCTGACAGAGCTCCAGAGTTCCTCTGTGGAGATGGGAGAACCTTCCAGAAGGACAACCATCTCTGCAGCACTCCACCAATCAGGCCTTTATGGTAGAGTGGCCAGACGGAAGCCACTTCTCAGTAAAAGGCACATGACAGCCCACTTGGAGTTTGCCAAAAGGCACCTAAAGGACTCTCAGACCATGAGAAACAAGATTCTCTGGTCTGATGAAACCAAGATTGAACTCTTTGCCCTGAATGTCAAGCGTCACTTCTGGAGGAAACCTGGCACCATCCCTACGGTGAAGCATGGTGGTGACAGCATCATGCTGTGGGGATGTCTTTCACCTGCAGTTTCTGGGAGACTAGTCAGGATCAAGGGAAAGATCAACGGAGCAAACTATAGAGATATCCTTGATGAAAACCTGCTCCAGAGCGCTCAGGACCTCAGACTGGGGGCGAAGGTTCACCTTCCAACAGGACAACGACCCTAAGTACACAGCCAAGATAACGTAGGAGTGGCTTCGGGACAAGTTTCTGAATGTCCTTGAGTGGCCCAGCCAGAGCCCGTACTTGAACCCGATCGAACATCTCTGGAGAGACCTGAAAATAGCTGTGCAGCGACGCTCCCCATCCAACCTGACAGAGCTTGAGAGGATCTGCAGAGAAGAATGGGAGAAAAGTACAGGTGTGCCAAGCTTGTAGCGTCATACCCAAGAAGACTCAAGGTTGTGATCGCTGCCAAAGGTGCAAAGCTGTCATCAAAGCAAAAGGTGGCTACTTTGAACACTTTTTTGGTTACTACATGATTCCATATGTGTTATTTCATAGTTTTGATGTCTTCACTATTATTCTACAATGTAAGAAATAATAAAAATAAAGAAAAACCCGGGAATGAGTAGGTGTTCTAAAACTTTTGACCAGTAGAGTGTGTGTGTGTGTGTGTGTGTGTGTGTGTGTGTGTGTGTGTGTGTGTGTATACACACACACACACGCGCGCACACAGAGTGCACAAAACATTAGGAACACCTGCTTTTTCCATGACATAGACTGACCAGGTGAATACAGGTGAAAGCTATGATCCCTTATTGATGTCACCTGTTAAATCCACTTCAATCAGTGTAGATGAAGGGGAGAAGATGGGTTAAATAAGGAGTTTTAAGCCTTGAGACATGGATTGTGTATGTGTGCCATGCAGAGGGTGAATGGGCAAGACAAAAGATTTAAGTGCCTTTGAATGGGGTATGGTAGTTGGTGGCAGGCGCACCATTTTCAGTGTGTCAAGAACTGCAACGCTGTTTTTCTCAACAGTTTCCCGTGTGTATCAAGAATGGTCCACCACCCAAAGGACATTCAGCCAACTTGACACAACTGTGGGAAGCATTGGAGTCAACATGGGCCAGCATCCCTGTGGAATGCTTTCAACACCTTGTAGAGTCCATGCCCGGACGAATTGAGGGCAAAAGGGGGTGCAACTGAATATTAGGAAGGTGTTCCTAATGTTTTGTACACTCTGTATATATACCAACATTGATCATCAAGTGTTTCTCTCTATCATGTTCTGGCTTTGCATTATTAAATCTCTCTCTCTCTCTCTCTCTCTCTCTCTCTCTCTCTCTCTCTCTCTCTCTCTCTCTCTCTCTCTCTCCTCTCTCTCTCTCTCTCTCTCTCTCTCTCTCTCTCTCTCTCTCTCTCTCTCTCTCTCTCTGTCTCTCTCACTCACTCACTCACTCACTGTGTTTTAATTTGTCTGTCTTGTTTTTGTCTTTCCCGTCCCTCTCTATTCCAGACTCTCAGAGGTCCGGAGCCCCCCAGTCGGACAGCCCCAGTCGGGTCCTCAATCAGGTCCTGGCCGTGCTGAGGGGCCAGGTGTTCATTGGGACCGTTGGCGCCCTCCTGTGGTGCATCCTGGTGGTGACGGCCGTCTGCCTGTATCGCCGCCACACCCGGCCTGGCGACCACCTGGGACAATGCCATATCAAGGCTAAAGGTCTGTCTGGGCAGGAAGTGGGGGCTAGCTTATATGTTGTATCTTTAGCATAGTATTAGCTTGGCATAGGATATTTGGAGCATGGATATGTCATGCTACGCTAATCCACTGTGCCATTATGGGTACATAATTACCGTTAGCAACTAATCAGGTTTTTTATTTAACTAAAACGAGAGGTTCTGGCTATTTGATGTGTAACTAGAGGTTTCACCCTCATAGGGTTGTATTGTAGCGGGCATGCTGTTAATTCCATATGTTGATTTGGACTCTTCATTCAAGGTCAAATGCTATATGATAAATTATATCAAGGACTCTTTAGCATTGTAGTGTTGAATGACCGAATTAACATGACCATCTCCAGTGTTCCTGTATAAGGTGTGTTCCCTCATTGGGAAATCAACAAGACTATAAAATGACTATGACTCTGGGTTTTGCAGGTTTGTACAGGTTGGCCAGTGAGGACCTCATCATAAAACACAGGTAGGTGGAAGACAAACAGTGTGGCTCATTGACAATGTCACTACCTTTTTGTTTTGTTAAACACAGAATGGACAAAACATTAGGAACACTCTTTCCCTGACATAGACTGACCAGGTGAATCCATGTGAAAGCTATATATCCCTTATTGATGTCACTTGTTAAATCCACTTCAATCATTGTAGATGAAGGGGAGGAGACAGGTTAAATCAGGATTATTTAAGCCTTGAGACAATTGAGACATGGATTGTGTTTGTGTGCCATTCAGAGGGTGAATGGGCAAGACAAAGATTTAAGTGCCTTTGAGCGGGGTATGGTAGCAGGTGCCAGGCGCAGCTGTTTGAGTGTGTCAAGAACTGCAACACTGCTGGGTTTTTTACGCTCAACAGTTTCCTGTGTATCAAGAATGGTCCACCACCCAAAGGACATCCAGACAACTTGACAACTGTGGGAAGCATTGGCGTCAACATGGGCCAGCATCCCTGTGGAACGCTTTTGACACCTTGTAGAGCCCATGCCTCAACAAATTGAGGCTGTTCTGAGGGCAAAAAGGGGTGCAACTCAATATTAGGAAGGTATTCCTAATGTTTTGTACACTCGGTGTATGCTCATGTGTAATATGATCTGATCCACTGTATGTGTCTCCTAGTTTTACCATTTTAACCATACCCATTACATGAGATTGATTGATTGACTGACTGGCTGGGCTCCCTGCCTGTGCCATTAAACCCCTACAACTCATCCAGAACGCTGCAGCCCGTCTGGTGTTCAACCTTCCCAAGTTCTCTCACGTCACCCCGCTCCTCCGCACACTCCACTGGCTTCCAGTTGAAGCTCGCATCTGTGGTCCTCTGTAGCTCAGCTGGTAGAGCACGGCGCTTGTAACGCCAAGGTAGTGGGTTCGATCCCCGGGACCACCCATACACAAAAAATGTATGCACGCATGACTGTAAGTCGCTTTGGATAAAAGCGTCTGCTAAATGGCATATTATTATTATTATTATCTGCTACAAGACAATGGTGCTTGCCTACGGAGCTGTGAGGGGAACGGCACATCCGTACCTTCAGGCTCTGATCAGTCCATACACCCAAACAAGGGCATTGCGTTCATCCACCTCTGGCCTGCTGGCCCCCCTACCTCTGCGGAAGCACAGTTCCCGCTCAGCCCAGTCAAAACAGTTCGCTGCTCTGGCACCCCAATGGTGGAACAAGCTCCCTCACGACGCCAGGACAGCGGAGTCACTCACCACCTTCCGGAGACACTTGAAACCCCACCTCTTTAAGGAATACCTGGGATAGGATAAAGTAATCCTTCTACCCCCCCTTACCCCACCCCCAAAAAAATATATAATAATAATAATAATAATAATAATAATAATAATTGTAAAGTGGTTGTCCCACTGGCTATCATAAGGTGAATGCACCAATTTGTAAGTCGCTCTGGATAAGAGTGTCTGCTAAATGACGAAAATGTAAAATGTAATGGCTGACTGACTGACTGTGATTGATTGATTGATCTGTGTCTCTGCAGAATGGCAGCCCCAGACTCTCCGTGGATCTCGGGTGTGTGGAGACCGGCCCAGAGTGACGAGAAGTACCAGGGACTGTGGGCTCAGAGCCAGGAGAACCCCGGCTTCAGGAAGACCAGTGAGTTCTGCTTTAAAGCTAGCCTAAAATCAGTTCCTCCTACCGCAGTTCTTACTGTGACCAGTATGAGCTGGATAACAAAGACTGGTCCTGGACCAGTTGATAATGCAACTCAATAGCTCTGGTGGCTAACATTGCTTTTTAGGTCTGAGGCTATTCATCATGGAAGCAACTACGTCTGCTATTCATCATGGAAGCTCAGTACCTCTGCTACGTAAACAATACACTTGATCCATTCTGCCTCAGAATTTCTCCAATCTTAGATCGATAGATATAATTTATTTGACAACTTAAAAATACAATTCCAGCCTCACAAGTGGATGCATAGCATTTAACATTCACACAAGTGGAAACAAGCATTTTAAAATCCACACAAGTGGATGCACAACATTTAACATCATCATGTGGAACAAATAGTGGTCCTCTTCTTATTCCCAGTGTTGCCCATCACAGCCAAGAAGGACCCCGGCTCTCTGGACGCGGCTGTCCCCATTGTGCCCGACAACTGCGGTGTCTACGGGGCGTTTTACGTGGACCTGATGGGTAACAGCCTCAAGACCTTCAACAGCCCTGCCCGATGCCCCAAGCGGCCCCACTGCCACACCTCCTCCTCCTCGCAGCACGGCGCAGAGACGGTGCGCATCTCCCAGCCCACCACAGTTGTCAAGACCACGCTGGTCCAGGATGGCCAGGCATTGCCATGGAAACAGGCCTTGCCCTCGCAGCCCAAGATGGGCGTGCTCAAGGAGTCGTGGGAAAATAATTACAAGCGAGGTGATTGTCAATATGGTGTCCTCCTTGCATGGTTTTGATGTCCTTGCTATTGGTGAACGTTGATCTGTAGTTACTTTTGAGTCACAGACATTGTCTCCTTTCCCAGATTGCCATGCGGTGAGCAGCGCCCCCTTGGTGTCGTCCAGGAGCCAGGCGCTGGCTGTGAGGGGAGTGCCTTACGAACAGAGGCTCAGCCACCTCACACCAGGTACTGTACTGTACTGTCATCTTATACCACTCAGACCATGAAGGATTTTAATGCTCAGGAACAATTAACCAGCGCATTCACTGCCCCCCAGGGTGTTTAGGGCGGCAGGTAGCTTAGTGTATAAGAGCGTTGTGCCAGTAACCGAAAGGTCTCTGGTTCTAATCCCCGAGCCGACTAGGTGAAAAATCTGTCGATGTCCCCTTGAGCAAGGTACTTAATCCTAATTGCTCCTGTAAGTCGCTCTGGATAAGACCGTCTGCTAAATGACTAAAAATGTAAATGTAAAAATGTTTACCTTTTTGTTCTACCCCTTATTGATCTAATCAAGGGCTTCGTGATTAGTTATCTTAAATATGGTGTGTTAGTGCTGGGCTAGAACAAATATGTGCACCCCTGGGGGTTTCCCCAGGAATGGATGGTATAGACAGTGGTGGAAAAAGTACCCAATTGTCATACTTAAGTAAAAGTAAAGATACCTTAATAGAAAATGACTCAAGTAAAAGTGAAAGTCACCCAGTAAAATCGTACTTGAGTAAAAGTCTAAAAGTATTTGGTTTTAAATATACTTAAGTATCAAAAGTAAATGTAATTGCTAAAATATACTTAAGTTTAAAAAGTAAAAGTATAAATAATTTCAAATTCCTTATATTAAGCAAACCAGACTGCACCATTTTCTTGTTTTTTAAATTTACGGATAGCCAGGGGCACTCTCCAACACTCACACTGTTTAGTGAGTCCGCCAGATCAGAGGCAATAGGGATGAACAGGGATGTTATCTTGATAAGTGTGTGAATTAGACCTGCTAAGCATTCAAAATGTAACAAGTATTTTTGGGTGTCAGGGAAAATGTATGGAGTAAAAAGTACATAATTTTCTTTAGGAATGTAGTGAAGTAAAATTTGTCAAAAATATAAATAGTATAGTAAAGTACAGCTACCCAAAAAAACTACTAAGTAGTACTTTCAAGTATTTTTACACCACTGGGTACAGACCCACTGTCCTTGACAATATTGTTTTTGTTGTTGTTGTGTTGACCTTGGTGCCTGTGTGTATTTTTCCTCCAGGTGGGCACTCTGAGTGCTTCAAGCCCCTGGCGTCGCCCCGCTTCCTGCACTACTCTGCCTCACTGCACCTGGTAGACATGCTGCCCCCTCTGCCCATAGACGACACCGCTGACACACACAGCCTCACCTCAGAGGAAGGGTGAGGAACTTCCTGTTGAATACTTCCTGACACCAATTTATCCGTAGCTTCTCCCATTCCCCACTCTCTAATGAGCCACTGCGCTCCACTTCCCTCCATTTCCTTGGCCATTATAGTAAAACCCTATGGCCTGAAGTGGTTTCCTGTCTACTGCTGGAGAAAATGATTGTACTTCCTCCCTGCTCTTAGCCATGATGACAGGGCCTTGACACGGCTCAGAGAACGGCAACCAACACCCAGCCATCAAATGCCAATTTACTTGCCCATGAATGACATGTAACCACAGTTTAAACAAAGGAAACTGCTCAATTCTAGTTATGGTATGACTATTCTCCTGCAAGGAATACCACTTTTGTTAGAAAGAAAATTGGAATATCTTGTAATTATAGTACATTTAGGCAACTAAGCGTGACGAACGTACGGAGACAGATCCACTGTCCACCTCCCCGATTTCGTCGTGGGGGACAATAATATTAGCTGCTGTATTATCAAGCTAATATTTTGGCTTAAAGGCCCACTCTGTGATATAGCCATTTTGTTAATTAATTAATGATACAGCAATTGATTCTTGAAGAATATCACTTATAAATGTCTCATGAATTTATTTTTCATTATTGGAAATGACCATCTGACCCTTTTTTATCACATCTAGGTCCAGCAGGTCCACTAAGCTGACAGTAGATGTCAGGTCTCTCCAGTCTGTGTGTGCTGCGTCTGGTCACCGTGGCCCCCCCACCAACACTAACACCAACACCACTGGCTGCCCCTCCTACAGCTGCCTGTCCACTGCCTCCTACTGCATGTCATTGGACGAGGAACAGGACGCAACGATGACCTCACAGGATGTCACCCAGTACCTGGAGCGCAGCCCCAAGGCTGAGAAACACATGTAGGGTTGCCATGGAAACCTAGGGGTGGCGACTAGGGAAGGGCGAGAGGGTTACTGTCAGAGTCTACTACGTCGATTGATAAGGGCTTTTAAACTTAGACAACCAAAAATGTTGTCAGTAATATTTAATCTTTGACTTGTAATAATTGTGTTATTTTACTACAGTATTGCTTTACAGGTGTCAGTGTTGTTAGTTTTTACTTTATTCACCTCTTACCTTACCTAACTTCCTGTTTCCAGCACCACGTTGGAGAATCCTCCCGCCTCCTCCCTGTCCCGTCCCTTTACTCCCACTCCCACCCTGGGCTATATCAATGGGCCCCTCCCCTCCGACCAACTGGAGGACGGGATGACTGACGAACAGGAGCCAATGGGCTTCCGACGGGCCCGGTTTCAGAGCACGCCCTCGTCGCTCTGCAGCGAATGGGAGGGTTCGCTGTTGAACGGCTGGGGCTCGGTGTCAGAGGGCAACATGGCGAACAGCACCCGCACCAGCCTCAGCTCGTCGGATGTCTCATTCATGAACGACGCCAACTTTGCCCGGGTGCTTGCCACCGTGGCCGCCGAGTCCATGAGTGGAGCCTCCTTCTCAGGCAAGAATACTGGATAAACATGATTAAAACGTTAATGATAGGTCCTCTGCATGTTTTAATATGGTTGCACAAATGTAGCCAATCATCATACTTTAGACAGGTTATTCAAATAGGTTATTCCTTGAGATTGAGATGTCTTCCACCAACTGGCACTAGATGGTGCACTATTACAAGACGATCCTTAAATGGTGCCTTGAAGTCAGATTTACATCAGACATTCAATGTGATTCCACTAGCCTCTATAGTTTGGTCATCATATATCTGGATGGATGTGTCAGGCTACATCAGGGTTAGGTATTATTCATGAATTTAACATTGTCCATAGTATTTAACAAAGAACAAACATTTTACAACTCATAAATGGAATTACAGTGTATTCCCTCGAGTAGCGGGTAGTGAAATGGAATTGACCACACAATCAGGTGTCACCAGTTTTCATTTGTGTAGCTTATTGGCATGCTCTGTATCCATTGGGGATGTAGCCTAACCTAGATTTAAGCAGTGCTCTTGTATTCGAGGATGCATAGATGTGGGAATTGTCAGTGCTTGTGTGGCCCCTGAAACTGACCTATGGGACATATAGATGTGATTGAGGTGAGAGTGTATCTCACAGACACACACAGTGTAAAGAGAGAAAGTGTGTGTGTGTGTGTTTAAATGTGTGTGTGCAGATGCTCAAGTGTGTGTGTGTCCGTGCGTGCGTGTGTTGGGCAGGGGTTAACTCAGGATTTAGGGGTGGCAATGGGTGATTACTTAAGACCTCTCAGCAAATTAAAGGACTGTCACTTGATCAATCACTCTGTCCTTTTTCCAAATGTGCAGACGGCCGATTCAACTTTACTCGATTTGCCCAATTGTAAACAAATAAAAAACTAACAAAAAAAACTAGATGCCCGTGCATTAATTTAGTTAACATAATTTAAAAATCCCCATCAAAATCTGTCTAAGCTAGAGATATCAGTTTTTTTGTATGCTGCGTCTCAATCCACTGCATCTGCCTATGTCGGCCTTCAGCATCTGCGGTGGAAGGTGGCAGAGCTACAGCGCTGTTTGTCAGACCAGGAGATATCCTGAAAATTGGTCTCACGAAAACATCTGTAGCATCCAAACGGTTGGGGCTACAAACTATTATGACACCAAACACGATGGTGTTCTCCGTTTTGCTCTACGACCCCCACAAGTGTCACGGGACTTGTCTGATGGTAACCTGGTACCAGTTTTAAAAAAGGAATGGAAATATGGAAGTAGTTTTGTGCCATAATATATATTTCCTTAGATTTCTTATATCTCCTAGATATAGGGCATGCATTTCAAAACCTTATTCCTTATGATGTGTTTTGTTGTCTGTTTTGCCATATACAGTATCTCACAAAAGTGAGCACACCCCTCACATTTTTGTAAATATTTGAGTATATCTTTTCATGTGACAACACTGAAGAAATGACACTTTGCTACAATGTAAAGTAGTGAGTGTACAGCTTGTATAACAGTGTAAATTTGCTGTCCCCTCAAAATAAAACAACACACAGCCATTAATGTCTAAACCGCTGGCAACAAAAGTGAGTACACCCCTAAGTGAAAATGTCCAAATTGGGCCCAAAGTGTCAATATTTTGTGTGGCCACCATCATTTTCCAGCACTGCCTTAACCCTCTTGGGCATGGAGTTCACCAGAGCTTCACAGGTTGCCACTGGAGTCCTCTTCCACTCCTCCATGACGACATCATGGAGCTGGTGGATGTTAGAGACCTTGCACTCCTCCACCTTCCGTTTGAGGATGCCCCACAGATGCTCAATAGGGTTTAGGTCTGGAGACATGCTTGGCCAGTCCATCACCTTTACCCTCAGCTTCTTTAGCAAGGCAGTGGACGTCTTGGAGGTGTGTTTGGGGTCGTTATCATGTTGGAATACTGCCCTGCGGCCCAGTCTCTGAAGGGAGGGGATCATGCTCTGCTTCAGTATGTCACAGTACATGTTGGCATTCATGGTTCCCTCAATGAACTGTAGCTCCCCAGTGCCGGCAGCACTCATGCAGCCCCAGACCATGACACTCCCACCACCATGCTTGACTGTAGGCAAGACACACTTGTCTTTGTACTCCTCACCTGGTTGCCGCCAAACACGCTTGACACCATCTGAACCAAATAAATGTGTCTTGGTCTCATTAGACCACAGGACATGGTTCCAGTAATCCATGTCCTTAGTCTTCAGCAAACTGTTTGCGTGCTTTCTTGTGCATCATCTTTAGAAGAGGCTTCCTTCTGGGATGACAGCCATGCAGATCAATTTGATGCAGTGTGCGGCGTATGGTCTGAGCACTGACAGGTTGACCCCCCACCCCTTCAACCTCTGCAGCAATGCTGGCAGCACTCATACGTCTAAATACGTTCCCAAATACAACCTCTGGATATGACGCTGAGCACGTGCACTCAACTTCTTTGGTTGACCATGGCGAGGCCTGTTCTGAGTGGAACCTGTCCTGTTAAACCGCTGTATGGTCTTGGCCATCGTGCTGCAGCTCCGTTTCAGGGTCTTGGCAATCTTCTTATAGCCCAGGCCATCTTTATGTAGAGCAACAATTCTTTTTTTCAGAGAGTTCTTTGCCATGAGGTGCCATGTTGAACTTCCAGTGACCAGTATGAGGGAGTGTGAGAGCGATGACACCAAATTTAACACACCTGCTCCCCATTCACACCTGAGACCTTTTAACACTAACGAGTCACATGACACCGGGGAGGGAAAATGGCTAATTGGGCCCAATTTGGACATTTTCACTTAGGGGTGTACTCACTTTTGTTGCCAGCGGTTTAGACATTAATGGCTGTGTGTTTAGTTATTTTGAGGGGACAGCAAATTTACACTGTTATGCAAGCTGTACACTCACTACTTTACATTGTAGCAAAGTGTCATTTCTTCAGTGTTGTCACATGAAAAGATGCACTCAAATATTTAGAAAAATGTGAGGGGTGTACTCACTTTTGTGAGATACTGTATGAATGTGTTATTCAATGCGTCCAATTCTGATATTTATTTTCACTAATTGGTCTTTTGACCAATCAGATCAGCGCAAAAAAATACCAATTAGTGGAAAAGTATCGAAATTGGGCTGCCTGTGTAAACGCAGCCATATTTGTTTATTATTCCTCTCTAATCAGGGACAAATTTAGACCTGGGACACCAGGGCTGCATTTACACAGGCAGCCCAATTCTGACCTTTTTTCAATATATTGTTATTTTGACCAATCACATCAGATATTTTTGAGAGCTGATCTGGTTGGTCAAGAGACTGGACTGTCTGTGTAAAGCAGCCCAGGTGGATGCAATTCATTGTCAGGTAGAACAGAAAACCAGCAGGCTCCGGATCTCGTAGGGTAATATTTGGATAACCCTGCCCTATATAGTGCACTACTTTTGATCAGGGCTCATAGGGCTCTGGTTGAAAGTAGTGTACTATGTAGGTCAGGGTTCTCCGACTGGCGGCCTGCGGGTGGTTTTATTTGTCCCCCCAAGTTATCTGAGCAAAAAATAAATACAAAATGCATTTTATTTATTTTTTACATTTTTGGACATAAGACTGTAAAAACACCAGGAAATCAGCTCCAAGTGATTTAAATTTGGGAAATCTGTACCCAAGCATTCCCATGCATAATAGAAAGACACATGATCGTATACAAAAGTAAGCACGGTTTGAAATGATTATGTTTTAGTCAAATATTATATCTGTTTGGGCTTCTTGCGCTCAATTTGCAGTCTACTCATTATTTGTAATTATGTTTCGGCCCCCCGACCATCCGCTTAAGAAAAATTCGGCCCGCGGCTGAGTCTAGTTGATGATCCCTGATGTAGGGAATAGGGTGTCATTTAGGACAAATTCATTTTCCTCTTTAATTACTGGCCAAGGGGACACTTCATTGGCAGGGGGATCATTCATCTGTTTTTTTTACTGTTGATATGGTACAAAGAGGCAATCTCTGGCACTGTAAAAATGTGTCCCTTCTCTTACATCTCTTATCATGACGTCAGTTGTCGTATCATATCTCTCTGTGTCATGATGTCAATTGTCATATATCTCTTTGTATCATGGTGTCATATATCTAATGTATTTTGTAATATACAGTATTTCTCTATCATGGTGTCATGTATCTGTGTGTGTGTTAACTCTAGTTGTGTTCTCCTGTCTCCTCTCCAGACTTCTCTCCCCCGGCGTCGCCCCTCAGTGCCCTGTTCCCTCCAGCTCGAGGGGAAGGAGGGGACTGTTTCGGGGAGCTGGACCCCATGCCCATTTGGGACTGGAGCACAGCTTGGGTGGAGGAGATGGAGGCGCAGTACCGTGCCCAGTACCCCTCCCAGGCAGCAGCAACCCCCGCATGCGACACCTGGGGGCGTTGCCGTGATGACCTTCACCATGACAACCGCCGAGCCACCGAAGGGAGTAGGGGCAAATGACAAGGGGGGGTGAGGACGACCCCACAGCGATGATCCGTTTGATTATGATGATTTTTGGTCAAATCCATTTCAATGCCAAGACATTAATTGAATTTACTCTTGATTTGTTAAGTACGAAAGCATGAGAAAAAACTATTACATTTCGACATGGGTTTCATTGATGATTTTTTAAGTGGTCTTTTTCTGTGAGTGCTTTACAAGTCATCAGTAGAAGTGTAACTGGGGTTGAAATGACCATTCAATGTCTCCTGTCCAGACCACTATTGGGTACCTGAACTAGGTTTCCCACAATACCTCAGGGCATGGAAATAGAATTCCTAGAATGGACATCTTCTATGGTGTCTCTATGGTGTGTCCTCTGTTTTGTGTTCTCCATATGACCTGGTTTGGGCTTTCCAAGAGTTGAACCGCAGCCTCAAAACAACTAAAAAAATGTTTCCGTCAAAATTCAGTCAAGTCATGTCATAGGTTGTTCCAAAACAAATATTTGGAGAGTGTTATGCTTTTAGTGGCACTGCTACTCTACTACAGCGCTATTTTTGTCTTCCAGAATCTTCCAAGCCTGGTTAAAACAGACTGAATGCACAATGGTGAGCGCAGCGTTCAGTTGGGTTTAATATTAATTACAGCATATTGAAAACGGCAGGAGCGAATTTGTACATACCATTGACTGATCATTTATTTGCAATAGAATGTAAATATATGCGACAGATTTTATTTAATGAACCGTGAACACTGTGACTTTCCAACCCATTTTCTGCCTCTTTTCTTTTCATCATACTTTGTTCACACAAGACAGTATTATAACGTTTTTTATTATTATTAAATGTGCTTTTGTCTCTATTTTTTTTAATGAGCACTAAACATTTGTTGTTTGACTAGAATTTGGAAGATTTAGTTATGTTCTGTTTCAGATTTTGTTTAATTTCTCTTCCTTTTAACATGAAACTTAACATTGAGGGCTGAATCATCAACTTCAGATGTGTGTGCATGACTAAACTTTTTCGCAAATCTCCCTTTGACATCAATGCATGACTTGTGTAAATGTCCTATGTGTCTGAAGTTAGGATTTGGCCCTATGTACCTGCTGAAATGTGTACATTGAGCAATAAGTAGAATATGTTTTTCACATGCTGTAAAGGTCTGGACTAATATGTCTCACCTGAGATGAGGAATAATTATTCCTTTTATATAAATGTTCATGCATTACTTAATAATATTATTTGAAGCTTAACTAACCCAATGTCTTCTATTGTGGCCTTATTGATAATAAAACATATAAGTCTCAGTCTGGTAAATTCTTAGTCATGAATGCTAACGTAGCAGTGGCTATTAGCCTAGGTACCTTTCCTGAGTGTTTCATCCTTGTCTTGCCAAACTTGCCCATTGTTTGGTAAGACAACCACCATTTTCCTAAAGCAAAAACAGACCAAGCTAAATTATTGATATTTTGAGACTACTAATCTCATTCTGTGGCTCAGGATGATCTCCTGATAATTTTTTGATACCAACTCGTATCTAACTCCAATTACAGTGGGGGAAAAAAGTATTTAGTCAGCCACCAATTGTGCAAGTTCTCCCACTTAAAAAGATGAGAGAGGCCTGTAATTTTCATCATAGGTACACGTCAACTATGACAGACAAAATGAAAAAAATAAATCCTGAAAATCACATTGTAGGATTTTTTATGAATTTATTTGCAAATTATGGTGGAAAATAAGTATTTGGTCAATAACAAAAGTTTCTCAATACTTTGTTATATACCCTTTGTTGGCAATGACACAGGTCAAACGTTTTCTGTAAGTCTTCACAAGGTTTTCACACACTGTTGCTGGTATTTTGGCCCATTCCTCCATGCAGATCTCCTCTAGAGCAGTGATGTTTTGGGGCTGTCACTGGGCAACACGGATTTTCAACTCCCTCCAAAGATTTTCTATGGGGTTGAGATCTGGAGACTGGCTAGGCCACTCCAGGACCTTGAAATGCTTCTTACGAAGCCACTCCTTCGTTGCCCGGGCGGTGTGTTTGGGATCATTGTCATGCTGAAAGACCCAGCCACGTTTCATCTTCAATGCCCTTGCTGATGGAAGGAGGTTTTCACTCAAAATCTCACGATACATGGCCCCATTCATTCTTTCCTTTACACGGATCAGTCGTCCTGGTCCCTTTGCAGAAAAACAGCCCCAAAGCATGATGTTTCCACCCCCATGCTTCACAGTAGGTATGGTGTTATTTGGATGCAACTCAGCATTCTTTGTCCTCCAAACACGACGAGTTGAGTTTTTACCAAAAGGTTCTATATTGGTTTCATCTGACCATATGACATTCTCCCAATCCTCTTCTGGATCATCCAAATGCACTCTAGCAAACTTCAGACGGGCCTGGACATGTACTGGCTTAAGCAGGGGGACACGTCTGGCACTGCAGGATTTGAGTCCCTGGCGGCGTAGTGTGTTACTGATGGTAGGCTTTGTTACTTTGGTCCCAGCTCTCTGCAGGTCATTCACTAGGTCCCCCCGTGTGGTTCTGGGATTTTTGCTCACCGTTCTTGTGATCATTTTGACCCCACGGGGTGAGATCTTGCGTGGAGCCCCAGATCGAGGGAGATTATCAGTGGTCTTGTATGTCTTCCATTTCCTAATAATTGCTCCCACAGTTGATTTCTTCAAACCAAGCTGCTTACCTATTGCAGATTCAGTCTTCCCAGCCTGGTGCAGGTCTACAATTTTGTTTCTGGTGTCCTTTGACAGCTCTTTGGTCTTGGCCATAGTGGAGTTTGGAGTGTGACTGTTTGAGGTTGTGGACAGGTGTCTTTTATACTGATAACAAGTTCAAACAGGTGCCATTAATACAGGTAACGAGTGGAGGACAGAGAAAACTCTTAAAGAAGAAGTTACAGGTCTGTGAGAGCCAGAAATCTTGCTTGTTTGTAGGTGACCAAATACTTATTTTCCACCATAATTTGCAAATAAATTCATTAAAAATCCTACAATGTGACTTTCTGGAGAAAAAAAATCTCAATTTGTCTGTCATAGTTGACGTGTACCTATGCTGAAAATTACAGGCCTCTCTCATCTTTTTAAGTGGGAGAACTTGCACAATTGGTGGCTGACTAAATACTTTTTTCCCCCACTGTATCTTGTTCAATGCTAATGTGACACTAAACCTTTTTTAATGAAATGTAATATCCTGTGGCACTTTCAAAGATTCTGTCCTTGTAGAGGATGAACAACAACAGGAAAACCTGTTCAAATCTTATATAATCATAGAAAATCATCTTAAAACGAAAGGAAAAGATAATCTCTTGATGTATCTAGCATTTTGCCCACTCTGGTCTCGGATCACTGCTGATCGCTCTGTATTGCCTTTGCTCACATTTGGTCAACTGTGTGTGTGTGTGTGTGTCTGTGCGTGTGTGTGTGTGTGTGTCTGTGCGTGTGTGTGTGCATGTATGTACGTGCAGATATGTGTCTGTAAATGTTAGTTTGGTCAATGGCTTCCTTGGCCAGAGGTTACTCCATTAGTTTGTATTGAGTTGTTACATAGTGTTAATCCCCATTTGCCACTACTACAAACAAACAGACAAAAATGACATTACACAACAGTGTCCTCATCTTGCCTCGTACATGTAGGCTACACATCCAGAAGGATAAGCCCTTATCTCACAGTGCTCACTCCCCTACGGCCATATGCTCAACATGAAAAGCCACCACCAGCCCCCACTCCATACAAACACACACACATACACATGCATGAAAACACAATGAATGCTCTGTGTACACACACTCACACACACAAGCATGCAAACACACATACACTCACACTACATCCCCCTACACACACAATTAGTACCAGAGGGATCTGTATCACTGCGTTAGACCCGCGCCAAGATGGCAGCTTTTTATAGCCTGCCTGTAATCCACTGACCCACATTGGCCTGGAGAGAGAACACAGAAACAGAAACTATGCCCCAATGTCTGCCACCAAGCAGACCTGGGTTCAAATTCTATTTTAAATCTTTCAAATACTTTGTTTGCTTTAGCCTGCCTGAGTGACAAATGTGTGAGGATTACACTTGGGAGTATTCTATTGCTTCCCTTGCGGCTCAATCAAACACCGCTTGAAATGATTTAAAATAGTATTTGAACCCAGGTCTGCTTTCATTCCTTTTTTTCACCCACTTTCCTCCCGTTTTTTATTTTAAATGTTAGCTGCCATTTCACCAGTGGGATTATGCATTTTGGTCGCTGCTATCTCTAGGGAATAGAACTTGCTTTTAATTAGAGATAAGTAATTCAATGCTTCCTCCTGTCTTTGGACTGGGTTGGCCATTTAGATATGACTAGATTGTTGGACAATAATATTAAGAGGCTCTGCTTTTGCAGAATTTATGGCGAGCCATTTTCTTACATTCTACCTCTCTGGACAGGCAATGCTGCTTAACTGAACAGCGTTTTTGTGGGATTCCTTGATTTCAAAGCACGCCCAGAACCATCTGGGCAGAGGTTAAATTGCAATTAAAAGTTGCACACTGGACAGTGACAATTATTTAATTAACTGGAAATCAATGTGGCACACATGGACAATCCATATCCACTCTGCCATGTATTTCAATACGATTTAAGTTACCAGCTTACCCCCTTCACACACACTTCCACATCCACGTACAGACACACAAACTGTGAGCGTTCGAGAGGATCACTTTTGTCAAGTCAGTGACTTATTGAGTGAAAAATTGTCTGACTTGCACCTACAGTTGAAGTCGGAAGTTTACATACAGTGAGGGAAAAAAGTATTTGATCCCCTGCTGATTTTGTACGTTTCCCCACTGACAAAGAAATGATCAGTCTATAATTTTAATGGTAGGTTTATTTGAACAATGAGAGACAGAATAACAACAAAAAAATCCAGAAAAACGCATGTCAAAAATTTTATAAATTGATTTGCATTTTAATAATAATAAATAATGAATTAGTATTTGACCCCCTCTCAATCAGAAAGATTTCTGGCTCCCAGGTGTCTTTTATACAGGTAACGAGCTGAGATTAGGAGCACACTCTTAAAGGGCAGCTTGGTGAGAAGGTGACAACAGTTGGTGCGATTATTCGCAAATGGAAGAAACACAAAATAACTGTCAATCTCCCTCGGCCTGGGGCTCCATGCAAGATCTCACCTCGTGGAGTTGCAATGATCATGAGAACGGTGAGGAATCAGCCCAGAACTACACGGGAGGATCTTGTCAATGATCTCAAGGCAGCTGGGACCATAGCCACCAAGAAAACAATTGGTAACACACTACGCCGTGAAGGACTGAAATCCTGCAGCGCCCGCAAGGTCCCCCTGCTCAAGAAAGCACATATACAGGCCCGTCTGAAGTTTGCCAATGAACATCTGAATGTGGTCAGATGAGACCAAAATCGAGCTCTTTGGCATCAACTCAACTTGCCGTGTTTGGAGGAGGAGGAATGCTGCCTATGACCCCAAGAACACCATCCCCACCGTCAAACATGGAGGTGGAAACATTATGCTTTGGGGGTGTTTTTCTGCTAAGGGGACAGGACAACTTCACTGCATCAAAGGGACGATGGACAGGGCCATGTACTGTCAAATCTTGGGTGAGAACCTCCTTCCCTCAGCCAGGGCATTGAAAATGTGTCGTGGATGGGTATTCCAGCATGACAATGACCCAAAACACACGGCGAAGGCAACAAAGGAGTGGCTCAAGAAGAAGCACATTAAGGTCCTGGCGTGGCCTAGCCAGTCTCCAGACCTTAATCCCATAGAAAATCTGTGGCGGGAGCTGAAGGTTCGAGTTGCCAAACGTCAGCCTCGAAACCTAAATGACTTGGAGAAGATCTGCAAAAAGGAGTGGGACAAAATCCCTCCTGAGATGTGTGCAAACTTGGTGGCCAACTACAAGAAACGTCTCACCTCTGTGATTGCCAACAAGGGTTTTGCCACCGAGTACTAAGTCATGTTTTGCAGAGGGGTCAAATACTTATTTCCCTCATTAAAATGCAAATCAATTTATAACATTTTTGACATGTATTTTTCTATATTTTGTTGTCTCTCACTGTTCAAATAAACCTACCATTAAAATTATAGACTGATCATGTCTTTGTCAGTGGGCAAATGTACAAAATCAGCAGGGGATCAAATACTTTTTTATAGGCCGCCTATGTGATAATATGAGGCACATATTCAGATTAACTTCACAGTACAGAACAAGTTTGTAAAGGAAAACAATCTTCCTACCTTAGTTTTCAAAACCACCCACAATTACTCTCC